TCGAAAACATGAACGTACCGTTACTCAGTGTCAGGCTGGTGCCGGGCTCTATAGCGCTAACAGTGCCCTTCAGCATTGTGCCGTGAGGCTGCCTCAGCGTCACCAGCATTTGCAAGCCGATGAACTCCATGGTGACGGATGCGTCGCAGCGTCTGGGTGCTGAGTCGTTGACTGTGTCAGGATGCACCAGAGGAGCGTTGGGTTGGGGCTTCGTTGTAAAGACAGGATGTGCGAATTGACCGAAGTTTGAGCTCTGGAAATATTTCAGGTGGCCAAAAGAGATCGCGAGGTAGGCGCAGCGGCGGTCAGATGCTGTTGGAGAGCAAGAATGAGGTTGACGTTGACAGTGAATATGTGCGTTGCCTTGGATCTCGACGAATGACCAGACCAGAGAGCTTGCTTTCCCCAATTACCCCCTCGGGCACATTCACCTGCTGGGTTCAGGTTCCCTTAACTTTTTCCCAATGCTTATCGATAAGGCAAGCGCAGGGGACTTAAGCGCAGGACAGGCGGCAGGCGCAGGGCAGGCGCAGGTCCCATGTGCAAGGTCACGGGGATTTCTGCTGGTGGCGGGCAGCTACCTACCCTAAGGTACCTTACCTTGCCTTGACTTACAGCACCCAGGAAGAAGGGATGAACGTCATGGACACAAGGTTCCGGGCCCAATTGGGTATCTTTAGGTACGATGAAAGTCACGAACTTAAACGCTCGGTTCATTTTGATAGTAAAGGAACATGATGTGTTACCAATTTCCATCAAATGCGCAGCACCAAACAGCTCATAATCAACTGGGAAGGTATTTGGGGCTATGTTCCAGCCCATGTAGCACGTGTCGCACCTAGGAATTTGGTAACACCCTTGGTTGATCTCCAGTCGTTGAAGACAGCAACAAACCCCGCCGATGCAGCTCGGAACGAGACGGGTTGCAAGTCACTGATACATGTATTAATGAGAGCTCTTCAGTACGACAATGAATCAACCTGACCAACGACAAATATCTTCTGATATCGTTCTGTCTTACTCATTCGCTATAAGAGCAGAGGTATTTCCCGTCCCGCAAAGACGTGCGCTTCAAAGTGAAACCAGAGCGTGCGAGTCCAGCGCTATCTATGTCCCGACAACCGCGAAGACCCAAATGAACCCCTTCCAACCATGCATAGACCGACTACTCGAGCAGCACCTTTGCTCACGAGATGTCTCTGGAACGCCATATTATGTTACTGCCAAACCCCCTCCTGAGCCCGAGTTTAAAACCCACCGTAGCTTGCCATAGCCTCCTCCTCCTCGTCCAAGTCAATCACCTCAACGCCTTTCCTCACAAACGATTGAGACCGCGCGCTCACTCCAGAAGAACTCCTGACAGGTTTCGTGTCTTTCTCCTTATGTAGAAAATCAGCCATGCTTGGCGGCTTTTTCGTTATGGCAATGTCGGCACTGTAGAGCTTGTTGTAGAACCCTACAACCCGAGGGTGAGCCATCACTTTGTCCTTCCTGAAATTCTGGACCTGCAGGCCTTGTTGACTGGTCGCTCGACTGAGCGCAACGTAGGCCTGACCTTTTTCAAACACCTTGGCCAGATTGACCTTGACTCGTTCCAACGTCTGACCTTGGGCTTTGTGAATCGACAATGCCCATGCAAGGATCAGAGGCAGCTGGCTTCGATTAGCCTGCACCTCTCCATTAGGCAACTCAACCTTCCAGTCTTCTGGGACGCAGAGGATGGTGCGGGTAGATCCATCCACCGCCGCAAACTCCACGACAGGATACTCGGCTTTGCCCCTGGTGGCTTCCTCCACTTCTCTGCTGAAAGCTTTGATTTTGCGTTTCGCCCTTGCTTCTCCATCCTCGTCCATGTCCTCAACACTCGGCATCATGTCCGCCGGATTCCAGTTTTCAAAGCTGCCCTCGCTCATGAAATGGGTAACTTTGCCGAGTGAACCGTTGACAAGTGTGTCGTCCATGTTTTTGATCAGCATAACCTGAGCACCAACCTTGAGCTCAATCATTTTGGGTGCCATCATGTTCTGGAGTAACTTGTCGCGTATTTGGGGGTCTCCGGAATCGCCCGCGTCGTACCGTTTGGCAATCCCGGGCAAGTTGCGCAATCGATTTTGGTTGGCGTTCTCGACCTCATATCGTGTAGGGAACAGTTCCGTGACTTCCAGGCCATCCTCGGTGGGAATTTTCCTGTCCAGCTTTCTGAAAGCTTGCACAGTCTCGTCGCTAATTCTGCCAAGACGCATTTCGTTAAGCATGTTGGCAAAGACTAAGACTGGTTAGCTGCTGTACCGATCTAGAACCTCCACACTCGTGTTTCGTTTGGACATACCTGGGTCCCTTTGACGGAACACCTGCGTCAAACCAATCGTGTGGTCAATCGTAGTGTTCCAAGTCGCCGCCTCGAAGGCGAATTTAGATTCTCTACTTTTATCACCATCAGGTACCGGGGGTAGCTGGAAGAAATCTCCTGTGATCACTAGTTGAATGCCGCCCCAGGGTTTGCCGTTGTTCCTGATGGTTCTGCCGATTTGCGAAAGCTTGTCGAAAAGTTCGCCGTCCACCATTGAGACCTCATCAATGACGAGCGTCTTAGTACGAAGCCAGCGGTTCTTGGCCTTGGGGTTCCGCCGGATCTTCTTGACCAATGTCTGTACGTCTTCCTTTCCAAGGCCAATTCCAGAGAAGCTGTGCAGAGTTTGACCTCCAATATTGCAGGCTGCGAGACCTGTCGACGCTGTGACAGATAGCCTTTCCGGATCTCTCGCCCATTTCTTCTTGAGCTCTGCAATGATCGACCTCATCAGGACCGACTTTCCAGTTCCGGCTGGACCTGTGAAGAAGACACTCTGGCCATTGTTGACAACGAGGCTCTGAACATGCTTTTGCTCTTGAGTCAGAGCAATCACCGATGCCTTGGGTTTGGGCAAGTTGCTTTTCGTCACCTCTGCTCGAATATCATCCATGGTCCACCCTTCCTCATCGGCGACGGCTTTCTTGGACTGTGTTTTCAACTGTTTCTTCTGCTCCTTGAGGGCACTGGCAGTCATGTTCCAGGTCTCTTTCTTTTTCTTGGGGGCAGGTGTGACACCACCATCCGCCCATCGAGAGACCTCCGGCTCATCTTGTGGCACTGGGATAAAGTCCTCTTCAACTCCCCATTTGGTTGGAAGCCTGCGCTTCTTGGGCTGTGGCGCCACTATAGACTCGACGTGATCTGGAGACTCGCGCTTAAGCGAGCTTTCGGCAGATGTGGTGCGGGATAGTTGAGGGTGGACGAAATGTGACGCGGGAGACGAGGACCACGGTAAAACTTGTGTTGAAGGTTCCTCGGGCACCGGATTGCTAGCCTTCTTTGCCCCAACAGGGGGCTTGGGGAGTGACGGCAGAGCCGATGGGGCTTCGAAGTCCAGGTCAAGCTGGTCGTCGTCGCTGAAATCATCTTCGGCAAAGTACACCGCAGGTTTCGAGTTGGCCTGTCTACTTTGGCTAGACATATTATCCGGCTCGTCTCGAAAAGAGCCAGACCTGGCATAGAGAGAGGCGAAGGATTTCCCATTAGGTGCGGATATGGAGTCCAGAGCAGATCGATTGCTGCTTGCGAAGTGCGTGACACTAGCAGTCCTGCCCGGCGGGGGTCGTGTCGAGTTCGTCGTTGTGGGTGGCGCTGTGGTCGTCGGGGTGGTCTTTTTGAACTGGTCTATGATATTACCATTCTGAGTGGCGCTGGGGCTGCTCGAGGGGAATAGTTGCTTGGCCAAGTCATTCTTCTGGGGCGGCGGAGCGCTGGCCTCGTAGGCCTTCTTCGCTCTGGCTAACATCGAATCTGTATGCGGATCTAGATCCGGATTGGAGGCAGAGGTGTGGACATGAGCAATACGAATTGCTGCTTTGTGGGTGAGTTGGCGGAGTACGGGCGAAAATCGAATGGGAAAGAGGCTGGTAATTCCAGCCGTCATCCGAGGAGCTGTCTTGTTGACATTTGTCGTGGAACTCTGTACGCAAGAGGCTTTACTGTGTCGCACGCTGACCGAGGAAGGAAAGAATTCAATCTGCGACCATCCCGGAAGGACAATCCCGATTGTGGTCGAACGCGCCTGGACGCGTTAAGCCCCTCCTGAACCTTGGCGCGAAAGTTGCTCTAAACTACACTGGCTTAGTCATCGAACTAGTGAATCACGGCTCAGCGCTCCACCACCAGTTGATCAACCACCACCCGATTCCTTGACAATGACAAGCTCACCCTTCACACCGAATTACATATGACACGTGAGGAGTTCAATGTCGTAAATGATGATTCCCATCCGTACGACTTAGACCTGGTTCTTGTTCGTCATGTGTCTACCTTTTCTACGATTGCAGTTCGCACATACACACCAAATATTTCTTCCACTTCCTATTAGAAACAACTGATGGGCTGGCTACCTGAACAGACTCTTCAGATTGTCCAATGGCATGTTACTCAATAACCGTCATTGGCTGCGGACAGCCCACGTCCACCACGTAGCTCCTCTCTCTTGCAGAAAGGTCATGCGCCTCGATGCAATGTCGTCGAAGGAGAAGCTGTCCGTTCGCCTCATATTGGACGCGGGGGAATATCTGCAGTCGGCCCCAATGGCTGCCGTTTAGGCACAAAGGTTGGGCAGAGCTCCGCAAGCCTGGCCTGGCACTACTTATTCAAGCTCTCGCCTTCCATGTTTGTGGAGCTGTGCTACCTCGGCGTCTCTACAATCTACAATCTGCAATCTGCATTGCCATACTTTGTTCATTGTTTTCACTAACACGAGGGAAGATCCTCACTTGGTCAAACTGATAATTCAGATCTTTCATTGGTCAATCTCACTATGGCGCCTTCCGGAAAGACACTGCCTGTCCAACTTTTGTTTCGACTAAAGCATTAACATAGAATAGTTTCGTTCTTGCCGGTCAAGGCGACGTATAGCTATTAACGACATCCTCAAGTGTGAAAGGAAACCCCGAAAGGACCGCGAACTTGAGCTACCCTACTTGTGGTACCTCGCCCCTGACCGGCCCAGCGGTTCAAATGGATTGTTAAGGTGCCGATTCATGTACTGTTTTGCTTCTCGGGCTCTCTCTTCGTACGTTTCCTCGTCTCGAAACAGAGCGTCCCTTACTAGAGAAGACCGACGGAATCGAGTTTCCAGTTGTCGCCTCCGTATGTCGGCCTCTCGCCTATCGGCAGCCAGCTCCTCCTCGCTCACCCGTTGATCTTCAAATCTCATTTCGTCACGGATCGTCAATCTTCTCACATTATCCAAGTCATCTTCGTGTCTTGCACGGACAACCTCTTCCGAATCAACAATGCGGAAGCTAGGCCGCCTGTGTATGACACGGGGCGATAGCGCAACTTGACGACGGCGGCCGAGGGTACTGAATAGCTCAATGTCGTCCAGCTCGTTGTCATAGGCCGTATCTGCCAGCCGTCGGGGCCGGAATACTTCATGCTCTAAGTGGTCGGGTCCGCCAGGCATTATCAATGGTGCTAGCGGAGGTGAATTAGGCAGAAGACCTCGAGGGACATCATCATCGAGGAAGCGATGGTCATGCTTCGTATGGTGGCGGGTTACTTTGATGCTGTAGTGCTCAGGCCGGTCGTGGTATCGACGGCGACTACGGCTATGGCTTCGACTGCGAACGCGACTCCGATGACGACCGCGGCGAGGGCTGTGCCTGCTGGAATCGGAGGACCCGGTGACGGATGTACTCGGCGTCCGGCCTGACTCGCTCCAACTATCGTCCGAGTGCGAGCTTCCAGAGCTTCCCGAACTTCTCGAAGGGATGTTATAAACCTTGGTTTTACCCTTCTCTGTCTTGATGATTTTGACATCGGTTTTCTCTTTGATAGGTTTCGGCAACGGCAACGGAGGCCGGGGCGGCCCCCCCTGTGGAGGGAGATGTCGCTGAAACTCATCATGTTGCCGTCGCATTGCCAACTCATGAAGATGCCGCTGTGCCATCAGTTGCTGAGCATGATGGTACTGTCGCTGCTGTTCCTGCAAACGTTGTTGCTGCTCGATCTCCCGTTCCCTCTCTTTGAGGATGGCCTTTGCATCCTCGCCGAAGCGCGGCTCTCGTTTGAAATACACCGTCATCGATAAGGTCTCCAGGAGGTTCTTCTTCGATTTCCTTTCTTTAACCTTGGTTACCACGACCTTCTTGGACTCTCTCTCAGCCATGTACTGGCGATACTCAATAGAATCCTTGCTGAGCTTCCTGATCTTGGTGCTGATCTGCTGCAGAGTGTAATTGAACCGCCTGTCGAGGTTGTGTGCGTCGAGATTGTTTTGCGCCTTTTCGATCTGACGCTGCTGTGTCCCTGTGAGGTCCAGCTTCTTCTGCATTGCCGTCCTACCCTCGGCGTCAAGGTCACGAATGGTTCGAGTTATGGACGGCTTGGAGAGGTCTTGGACCTCTGTGCGGATGACAATCTCCCAGGTCGATTTGACGGGGTTTCCTTCGTCGTCAATCTCGTTTGGGTCATTGACCTTTTCGAACCGGTATACAACATAATCGGACAAGGCCTCGCGTGCATCGGCATCGGTCATACGCTCGTTGCGAAGATCCGAACGCTGAACGAGCCCCTTGCGCCTTAGCTCTGGTGGGATCATGTCGTTGGGAGGCTGAACTGGCACGGGACGAGGCATCACCATCGGAGCTACCATCGGGGCTACTGGACGTTGAATAGCATGATGAGCTGGCGGTCCCGTGGCGGGAGCTCTGGGTACCGGTGGAGGAGGCGGAGGATGTGGTCCACCTCGCACCGCCCCTGTGGGATGTTTGGGCGCATTGGAGGAAGTGATTTTAATAACGCCTGCTGGAAGGGTAGCCATGATGGCGACGAAGACTGGACTGATGCTAGGGCACGGAGTCTATCCTCGAGGGGGGCCGGGGGCGGGTAAGGCACGTCTTATATGGGTACTCTGTAACCGACGTCCCAAGAAGCTAACTTGCAATGAGATAGGAGGGAGACAAGTATGCAGAATTGGATGTCGTGCCGTGAGAAGTCGAGGGGATTGTGACTGTCTCGACTTGGGCAAAGTGAGGCGAGCGCGGTCTTTGTGGAAGGGTGTATGAGACAAAACGAAACACAGAAGGGTGTGTTGGGTACTTGTGCTATTGATATGCCGTGGGTCTGTCTTGATCTTTGTTCCTGGATGCAGGATGCAGGTCTGGGCTCCACGAGAAGAACAGACTGGCCAACAACAACAACTTTGGCCACGGTAGCACGTATCTCAACTGGTCTTTTTCCGATGATACGAGCCTTATACCTGGAGGATCGAGGTCAGTTACCCGTTTTCTTACGTCCGATGAGGGGAAAGGAGAAGATAGGAGAGAAGCGTGGGAAATAGTAACCGTAAGAGGAGGGGGCGGGCGTTGCGAGCTTTCAAGCCAGGAAGCTGACTTTCACCGCCAGGAATATGCAATTGTCAACCATACGCGCAACCTATCACTCAACCCAGCAAGCCACCTTCTCATACGATACTTCGTTGCTCTCGAGGCATCCATTTGCATCATCCCTGTCGGTTCGGTGAAGTGGTGGGCACCGCCCAGTCAAGCGCCACGTTACTCACCTTTGGATTGGCAGCCTGGTCGTCAAACGGCAATTACTTCAATTGTGATACTTGAGACGCTTTCCTCCCTCACCAGAGCTGAAGACTTTGCTTTGGTTGCTGGATGAATTCGGAAAAAACGAAACAAAGGCTGAATTACTACCCAGAGTCCAACGAGCCCCGGCGACTATAAAACCTACATTTTCAATATGCCTGAGTTCCTTGCCAGAGCTATACTGGAATCAGAAGCTGTCACCGTGTCTTGGCGTACCTGGGCTTCCACAATACACACCGAGGACTGCTTATGTACCGTCTCTGTCGGAGCCCATTACCCTGCAAGAGACAATTTTTGTCTCGCGCGGACGGACTTGACGGGCGGGAGGGAGGGTCGACCCGGAAGGCGAACATTGCGAACAGAGAAATGGTCCGCGCCGCACGAAACAAGGCAACCATCTGGCTGAATACCTGTTAACCTCGATTCCCTCACCGAAGACGTGCCGCTTTTTTCTTTAGGTGGGTGGAGGATGCACATTACGGAGTGTGTCCAGCTATGTGGCTTGATCGGCAAATCAACGCAGGCTCACGGTCAACACTACCCAGGACCGGCTCAATCGGGTATAGGATTCTTACACTTCTGGGTGCCATCATTTACCCCAATCAACGACCATAACAACCCCTCTAAACGACTCCCATTGGTGAGAGGTGCATCAAATGACTCCGATAAGGGACATCCAGCAGCGACCTGCAGAACTATGTTACACGGCAGAAGCCCTAGGTGCTTGACCAATCAAGCTGACACGACACGAAGGAATGGGCCAAGATTTCAAGCTTTCTGTCGGTCATAGGATGCGAATTCTAGATGCCAACGATCGAGACATGCGTACGTCGACATGTAGGAAACAAGAGACTACTCTGAGTCCGTAACAACCGAGACATTAAGGCTGTTCATCGACAAGTGTGTTGCAGTCGGTGCTGCCCTCGGCTTCGTATCAAAGGTAGGAACGGAAGGGCGCCTCTCATCTAGGTAGGCTACGGTCTGGACCATGCGAGCTCTACTTCGTTCTTCGGAGTTGGTCTGGTCGGTGGTTCATCTGACACTTCGACAAGACTTTTCTAAATTGAGCATCTTACGCGGCCGGTCTCCTGACACGAGGCCTTCCCAAAAGCCACCTTTCGCTTGCGCCTTTCGCTTGCGCCTTTCTCTCCTGCGTTCACATCGTTCCCATGGCCCTATACCATTTCAGAGTACTCATCTGGTGTGCAGGGGCGAAGAAGAGTGAGACAATAATGCCAACTGGTCTCAGTTGTCATCGCAGAGCCGCACCTTAACTGACGTGACTGATAACTGCTCTGGTCGATTACATCCTTTACAAGCACCACCCATGCAACACTGAAGGGTTTCTACTACCTTTCCAAACTTTCTCAAGTCTTCCGATCTTTCAAAGACAGGGGAGGCCTGTCTAAGCCGTCTGTCAGTCAAGGCAGATGGTATTCAAACGTCGCGGATGATAATCAAAGGCCTAGACCAGGGCTGTCAGTTGCGTTGCTACACAACTTCCACCGCGCTGGCACGAACTCGCACTTCCTGACGACACAGAATTATTGGCCTTTGTCGGTTTCGATGGGCGTAGTCCCAACGTTCTACTCATCAGCACCGCACGTCGAGAAGCCCGGAACCCACAGCGACTGAAATCGTCTTTGTGCAGGGCCTTTGCGCGATGTTGGACACGCAGGATTTTACATCAGAGGTAACACAAGAAAATCTCCTCACGTACCCTGGATTGCGTCCTCGCCATAGTCGTTGCAGAGATGCCTAATCCCACAGGGACCTCCTTGCCCTCCTCATGTACAACGCGTACAATCGAGCGATCTGGCGGGTTTCCGTCAAACTGCGGGTCTTTCCTTTGTCCTACCAAGCCTGAGAGCTGTGCTCCGTGTCACCAACGATGCCTGACTCCTGGGTCTCACCATTTACAATGCAGCCGTCATCTGTATATATGCCCAACGGCGGTCGAGGGAGGACAAGAGCTGTCACTTCGCCGACTCCTTAAATTCTCAACTGATCGCCGTGTCAGTGCATTCAAGAAGTTTCGACAAAGTGGGACTATCCTTGAATGTTGAGTGTTTGGTGTAACCTGTACAAAGCACCTGGCTTGAAGAGGAATTAGTCGGGGATGCTGATAATCCCAGCAGGCAGAAGAGCCCTTGGCTTCCACACAACAACAACAACAACAACAACAACAACAACAACAACAAGACGCCACCCCTCATTCACATGTACCAGCCTGCGCCCGGTTACAACGCCAAGGGTGTAGATAGTTGCAGAGTTCACAGCTTTCCCCAAAAGTTCTTGCCTATTCTTAATAAGGCTAGCGAAAGTGCGGTTGCCTCGTCCTCTTTGGCTGACGCGACGGACTGGCTTTTTGCATATTGTACAGCACTTTGGCTGGTCATCTACGGCGGTCAGCCTTCATTCTCCGACTCCTTATTGGCAAGCCATCGACAGCCTACATAATATGATCGGAGATGGTTGGCTCAACAGTAGCACGACGTCAAGGCAATGACCTCTCTAAAGAATTATCCAGCAAGGCAGCAGTGAGGTAACGATGCTCCGAGAATACATATCCGGTATGACGCTAGAAGTTGAACACTCAGAAGGCGCCCTCTTGGCGAATAGAACCTTGAGACAGCGGCTCTACCCGAGGACACCACACTTATCTCAACTTGCGCCACTTATCCAGCCGGGCAAGTCCGATTTCCAGACGTAAGTGCCTTTCCAGGGGTGTGCTTACGGCCTGGATGCCTGGCTCAGCCTGCGGTGCGAGATGGTGGCCCTTTCTCGTGCTCCGCTAGGGAACACACACATTTCGTGCCACCACTCACCCGGTACCTACCTGTCCAGATTCAACATCAGGAAAAAGTTTGTAGAGACAATACTCGTGTCTACGGAGGTAGTGGTATTCTTCGTCTTTGATCGGTGGCCAGCTTGGTTACCTCATGATTGTAGGACGGTTCTATCGCCCATCCACCTCGATGTTCTAAGGAAGAGAAGTCTATCAATACGAGGAAGTCCAGTCACGTTATGTCTGAAAGAATGAATTGACTTATGGATTTTCAAGCCATAAATTTGGATTCTGGGGGATTGATCTGATTTGTAGCGTAATCGAGTTTCTCATAGATCGCACCAAGTCGCCTAGCTAAGTACCTAAGGTAGGGAATAGGAGATCCTCCAACGCGCACCCACAGCTCAGTATTCGAGGGCATGACTGAGTGTATGTTGGCTAATTCATACAGGAATTAATTCATACAGCCGCTTTAAGATTATGCCTATGTAGAACGTTGACCCAGATAAGTTGTTGTATGGGTAACAAACATTCAAGCGGTACAGTACATGACTGATGCTTCACACTTTGTTGGATATCATCTCGAGTACCAGCTATTGAGAGAGTCAAAATACCATCGCTAATTGTTTTCCAAACATACTCAGTTATCAATGGTACAACACATTGGACCATTTGCAGACAAAGTTCCGGCGGGATATTTTTGTTTGCTTTTGCTCAATGCGCTGGAGGCACCTTTCCCCTCGACCCTCTCCTACCCTCTTTCCACTTAAATTCGTGATAGTATTCACCATCTGGACTCACGCACCGCCCTCGCCTAAGCGTGTATTCAATGAGAGATTCACATCAAAAAGACGAAGAACTCCCTTACCCTCTCTTGGAGATTCTTTTTCTTACAGACAAACAAACCCTCACGAAAGTCTCATCCACAATTAACAATAAACAATCCCTAACCCCCTTCTATACCTCACATCACAACATCCTGCACTGATTTCAATCCTTCACTCAGAATCACCGCCAAAATGAAGAGCATCACCATCATCACCTCCTTCTCCTCCATCTTGGGCGCGATTGTCACCTCTGCTGCTCCTGCTGAGCAGCCGGTCAAGGCCGACATGGCCACGATCTGCGAGATTACCGAGGCTCCCTTTGCGAACGCTATCTGTCATCCCTTCACAGCCTCCGATGGCACTATTCTTGCCGTCTTCACCCTCGATCCCGCCAAGGCCAATGAGGGCAACTTCGACGGCATGAAGACTGCTGCTAACTCTGGAGCCACTACCTGGGTTCCCAACAAGAAAGCCGGCAACGAGGACTTCTGCAACAACGTCAATGGTCTTCACTCTGGCCACATCAACCCCTACATGCCCCTCGTCTCTGACTGCCTCGCCATCAAGGACTGGGCTGCCTCCAACGCTGGCCACTGGGCCGTCTCCAAGGCTGACTTGGACAAGCACCGCTGGGTTGCCCTCTCTGTCGCTGGCACCTGCGCCTTTGTCGTCGGCGCCACCAAGGAGAACCGCCCCGAGGCTGGTATCAAAATCGGCAACCAGGATGTCACCGAGATCATCCAGCATGCTATTTACAAGCATAGAATGATGGACCAGGTCGAGGTTGCTGGTCGCTCTTCTTGCATCGCCTCGGGTAGCAAGGTCGCTGCCGACTGGTACATCGCCAACCCCGACATGATCAAGTGGGACAACTGAAGAATGAGCATACCTTTCACTATGGATTTGGCTCTTGAGAAAAAACATCGTTACGGGGCCGATATGGATTCACAAAGGACGGGATGCAGGAAAGGATAGTTAGTGACCGCACCTTGGGGTTCTTTGAGGTCACATTGGAAGGAGGATACTCTAGTTGGCCATCAACAACAGTCTCAATACACAGGCTTCACTACGCACGAAACGACTGAATAAAATACTCGACACCATGGCCATGCTTGGCACTTTGGAAAATAGGGGATTAAGAAACCTGACTTCCGCAAGACATCTCTCACCTCAATCCATATTCCGTGTCACACAGCACATTGAGGGGGCGTTCCTTCACATCTGAGCTGTCTATGTGAATACTATACTTCCAGGCCACTTCACCAGATGACCATCGTACCTCAGGGAGTATCCTGTTTCTTTCTCCCTTCACCTCGTGCTGCTCTTGCTCCAACGCGCTTTCCTCCTCGTTACTGGCGTTTCTGTACATCACAATCGCACCTTCTCCCTTTGTTTTCCCTTCCTTTCTCTACTACCGAGCAAGCAAACACACAAAATTAAAGGCACTCTATTTATCAGCCTTCCAATACCTCGAGGTAATTACCTACGCAAAGGCCATACCACCCGAGGCCTCCTTGCATCTATTTTCTTCACCTCTACCTACCCGTGATTGTCAAACACCACACTTACCAAACTCAGAACCAGATACATCCCTACACTTTCTTTACTGCAAGAGACAGTTTTCGTCTGTATCATCAATCAGGACTTCCAGAAAATAATCCTCAAGATGGCTGTCATGAGCCGTCTCCTCGTTACCGCTGTGGTGGCGCTTGCCGTGGCTGTCGCCGCCAATATGGTTGCTCAGGGCCCTGGAATCATCCGCGATCCTGCCTGTGGTTCTCTCTGCGCCTTCACCGAGCCCCCTTGTCCCAAAGCTGTCTGCCACGAGGTCCTTCTCGACAACGGCAAGTTCAAGGCTATCTTCACCCTCCCGAAGGTCGGCAAGAACGACTTTTCGAGCGTCGAGGGTGTGATCTCCCCAGGTGTGGAGGTCAAACAAACCAACAAGAGTGTCGACAACATCGTCAAGGGTGACATCAACGCCGAAGATACTCTCCTCGCCAGAGACACTTGCATTCCCATCATCAATCACCTCAAGACCTCTTCCTTCTCCAAGCGTCACATTTTCGAGGGAAGCGAGAGGTCTGAGAAGGTCTGTGAGGAGCGGGGCCTTACCTGTTACGACCGCAACCAGAAGGCCTTGACCGAGGACTGCAATGAGATCTACAAGCACATGTTCAAGATAGAAGGCACCTGGACCTTCTCTAACCTTGATCTCCGTGGCACCAATTGGGTTGAATTCATGCGCATAGGCACTTGCCTCGTTGCCGTCGGCTCTGAATTCGCCAATCTTCGAGGTTCCCCGATCAACGGCAAGAGCTCCAGAATTGGCAACCTCGACATGTACAGCATCCTCGCTCAGAGCTTCGATCACTGCGGCAAGGACGGTAGCATGGAAGTCAGAGGCAGTATCGGCTGCAAGGAGTTTGGACTCAACTTCTGGATCGTCGCAACGGACATGTACGACTGTTGCAAGCCCGATCCGCCTCTGGAGCACAATCAGATGTCTACAGTCACTATCAACATCTGAAAGGACGTAGAAGACTCCTAGGAAATACTCAGGACATACTAAGGAAACTTGGGAAACTTAGGGTTAGCTTTGGTCAAACCTCACCAACCTCAGCAATATTGAGGAGAGAAGTTTCCCTGTGTGGTTGGAGCCCCCTGCATAGCTACCTGCAGTCAGAGAAATTAGGAATCGCGGTTCATCCGACACATTCTCTGTTTGTCTCGTTGTGACATGTGTTAGATGTCAAGAAGGGTTGACGTTGTTCCATGCTGAGCGTCATTCTCTCCATAACCTTCGTGAGTCAGGCACCGTTTGACCTACCCCTCCAACCTCGTCGGGACAGGATCCTCTTCAGGACATAGAGTTTACCTCAAAAAGGACGACTCCGTGAATGTGCACGATGCACGCATCAGACGGTGAACATGACGGACGGTCTCCGTCGTTTCGCCGTCCTTCTTGGCGCCTGGCCACTACCGCAGCAAGGAAAGTGTAAAGAGAGACATGGAACGATGGAACGATCAAACGATGCTGCATGGAAACAATAGAGGTCAGATTGATCCATGTCCACTCCCGACGCCATTGTCGTTCATCTCACCAGCTGCCTTCTCACCTTGGCCAGACCCTCGCATCTTCATGCCCTCGCTCTTGGACGCTGAGATTATGTTCCATCAATCCACCCCGCACCGATCCGAGTTCGTAGATCATACTCGAGAATGCAACAGCAACGGCTACGAATACGACGTTTTGCCAAAATTCCGGACATTCGGCAATCGAATGGCACCCAAAACCTGTCCTACAAGCTCCAACGACATCCACACCATCAAGTCCCTAGTTGAGTGAGGGTTGCAGTGTCAAACAAGAATCTATCGGCCCGTTGGAGTAGTTAGAAATCGAAGTTGCACCATACACGATGATCCCACGTCGTTTGTGTGTGTGTGTGTGTGGTTCTCGTGGGGCAGGCGAATGAGCACGGCGCGCGCGAGCGCGCGAGACTTGAGTTTTGAAACCTGAGCAACCATTCCGCCAGCTTGCTCCTGGCTCGGACCAAAAGCATCGGCCTCCGCGCGATCTCATGCGTACAGCCTAAAACTCGTAGAGTGACCGCGTCCATCATGCTTCCCTGCTCGGGGTCTCTCTCGTCTGCCATTCCAGCCCTGCGGTCTTCCTGGTAGCAGAATCACTCTAACACGGATAGGCTGATCCCAAAGCTTCGATCGACTCTGGTGCCTGAGCTCTCTTCCCAGGGCCCCGCGGCGAGGGCGGAGGAGGGCCAAGTGTGTCGTTCTGGGTTGTGAGGGAGAGCAAGACTTGGGCACCTAGTCGGACCGTGCCGACTCTTCCTTTCCCGCTCGCCTTGTTGCTTGGGAAATCCTTGGCCTGCTTCTGCCCTGTTCACAGCTCGGCGCAATGGACAGTCCGGTTGGGTTAAGTTGAGCGGATGTCCCTGAATCTTTTTATCTTGATGGGATTGCCACCACTTGTCCTTGTTGTGAATCCAGGTCAACATTGCTCGGAAGGAAGAAGCAGGCAGTTCTACCATCCATTCCTTTGGTTTTGGTTGTTGATTTTCCTCCATGTTTGTATATATGGGTTACGGTATTCCTCTCGGCGAACTGTCATCTCAGTCTCGGTGTAAGACGTCATGCCCGCGAGAGCGCTCGCTCTGGTCGCCTTACTAGCTGCAGCTGTTTCGTGCGCACCGTCGACCCAGAACCTCAGGACCGACATAACCATTATTCGAGACAATGATCTCCTGGGTGAGCCGCAATCAGGATTACATACCCCGAAATCCTTGACTGACAATGGAAACCTTCTAGACTCGAAAAGCCCAGCAGCCAATGCAAGCGCTCTCTTCCTCCGGGCCCGGGTGCCCTTGAGAGAGGCCAAGTCCATGTGCAGCGATCTAGGCGAGCAGCTATGGGAAGCAGATTCGAACCACACTCAGAGGGTACTGGACATTCTCGACTATCAAGAGCCGGATGTTGATTTGTCGGCAATCTGGGTTATGCCAAAGAACGGCGATGATCCCCAAACCATCAACCTCAAAGGCGAGGTCTCTTCTGCCGGCACATCCGACACGAATACCGTTCTGTGCTCGCAGACAGCGCCATATTCCAACGGTATAGCTCAGGATAGCAGTCCGAGGTGGCAGACGGTGGTCTACTCCAATAGAGAAGCAGTCCTTGGCTTCCGCGATAGGAACAGCTTCCGCTTCCACGGTATGCGTTACGCTACCAAGACGAAGCGTTTCGCGTACCCGAAGATGTATCGAGGCTCTGGCGGAAATGCTACCGCACTCGAATTCGGCTCCCCTTGTTATCAAGGATTCGGCGGCGCAGAAGACTGCCTTTACCTGAATGTTTACACGCCGTATCTACCTCGTAACAGACGGATTGACAGCGGGCTCCGGCCGGTCATGTTCTGGATCCACGGCGGAGCTTTGACGAGTGGCTTTGGCAGTGATCCCTTGTTCGACGGGGGAAACCTGGCGTCTCGTGGCGATGTGGTTGTCGTGACTATCAACTACCGGTTGGGATCTCTGGGCTACTTGGCCATTGACGATGGCGAGACAAATGGCAACTTTGGTCTCGCCGACCAGATCCTGGCGTTGGACTGGGTCCGACAACACATCAGAGACTTTGGCGGGGACCCAAGTAAGATCACAATCTTTGGCCAGTCCGCCGGAGCTGCCTCCGTCCGCGCGATGATGGCGTCTCCGAAGGCGGCTGGGAAGTTTGCGGGCGCAATCCCGCTCAGCAATCTCGGGGGCTTGGCATACGGGACGTCATACTCCAAGTACTTCTCCATCGAGGAACAGCTAGACCTCGTGGGTAATGCCATCCTCGGCACCACGAACTGCACCAACGCAACGTCGCAGCTCGACTGTCTCCGAGACGCGCCGCTTGGAAGTCTCGGGCCGGGAGCGCGGTATCTCGTCAACGACGGCGTCTACCTGACAACAGATGAGTTGCCTCTCAGGGGCGACACCCTGAACGTCAACGTGATGATGGGCATCACCTCCGAAGATGGCTTGCCGTTCCTGATTTTCCCGCGCAATGGAACAGTCCTCAACGATACCCAGTGGCTCACATCCCAAGGTCTCCCGGCTCCACCACAGCGTCTCTTCCCTCCGACAGACGTCAGAAACCAGACGCGAGCGGCGTTCGGGGTGGGCGCCAGATTGGCGACAGATGCAATGTTCCGCTGCGTCGATCAAGCTACGGCGTACGCAGGCTTGGAGAACGGTGTCCTCGGATCCAAAGTGTACTACTATGAGTTTGAGCGGACGTACCAGACACCCGAGTGGCCGCGACTTGACATCTGTGAGGCACCTAAGTCAAAGGCACACCCCAACGGAGATCCTGAGTCGCCCGCCAATAACCTCCGATGCCATTCGGGCGAGTTGCTCCCGCTATTTGGCAATCTCGTGCGTCAAGGAAACCCGTTCCGAGACGAGTATGATTTGCCGTGGATGCAATATCTCGTCGACACATTCACCTCATTTGCAAGGACTTATGATCCTAATCCGGATAAGGCCCTCCTCAAAGCCAGAGGGTTCGAAAGTACATTGAGGGCATTAGAAAAGTCCGGGCCCTGGGAGCCGTCTGTAAAAGGCGACATGAAGATGAGGGCCATCGATTGGCCCGTGAAAGACAACATGATGAAAGGATTCAAGGATGTCGAGCAGTGCGCGTGGCTCAAGTTGCCGCTCGACTTTTACGTTTGAGTAAATAATTTCCAGTGGTTGAAGATGGATAGATGCACATACAAGCATCCAAACCTACATAATTAGATATTCAGTACATGGCAGCGCGTAGATGGGTTCTATACAGCCCCTCATAATTGCATACTTTCTTAGACACAAACTGGAAAAGACAACCTCACTTTTTTCAACATTCCAAGTCAGTAGCCAACGCTGCAGCTCACTGCTGTGGGCAATGGTAGGGTCGGAAATGTAGTCAATCGTCTTCGCAGTCAGGAAGGCTGTGGCGAAGCTATCTGCGACGAGGTTCTATTGGGCCACGACTGTACCTACGGTCGCGTGTTGGGTCTGGGAGGGGTGAACCTGCATGGCAACCTCGTCTCGTTGTTTTCGCTTGCTCGGCGGTAGAATAACGAGATGCCTCATCCGCTTCTCAAGTCTCATGTGGACGTTCTCTCATTTTCGCATGTCTCTTGGTGTTAGTTGCGGCCCCCCGCGCCTAGTACATTGTTCTCATCCTCGATGGAGGCAGCTATCGGAGTGATTGGGCTTTCGTTATAGCTCATCGACTCTGCCACCAAAGTGAAGAGAGTCGTCACAACTCACCGGTCTGCTTCAGCGGAGATCAACCGGCTGGTGCTTAAAATCGAAAGGGTTGAGGTAATATACGGTGCGATCAAGGACAGTCTCGAGGGAAACGCACCCTCAGGGCAGTGCTCTGATCTGATCAAGACATGGGGCGTCTGTGTTCTCAAAAGTATCCAGTCGGCGCTCGCCAAGATTCATGCCATCATCACGAGGCTGGAAAGAAAAGGTAGAAAGAGACGTCCCTTCAACACCGTGGGATTCACATTTCCGGAATGAAAAGATGATATATCCCGGCTGAGCAAGTGGCTGGACGATGATCAGAATTACCTGCAGCATATGATGACTGCAGAGATCCTGTGCGCCTTCCGAGTTATACTCCTGAAAGTCCCACGCTGACTCTAGAAATAGCTCCAGATGTAACATTGTCCAGCATTTGACCATGAACCACAAGAGCGAAGCATCTGAGTTGTTGAACCCGAACTATACGCACATGCAGCCTGCTCTACAGAAAAATCGCAATGGCGACCCGTATTCCGAGCCAAGACATACTACAATGACGAAAATGAGCGATCAGAAAATGGTCAAAGCATTCGGCTTTCGATTTCAGAACCAAACCAGGACAGTACTCAAGAACTCTCACTCTCATAGTACACAGGAGGTGTCCAATACGAGCGAGATCGAGACTTACACTTTCGGACACAGCAGCTTTTCCTACAGGATAGAACTGCATTGGTCCATGAGCACGTTGAGTCCTATGGTCTATGCCCTCGCTGTCCGCCATGCGCTACCTGCAGATAAAGACATAAAGCTAGTGGATAAGATGTTGAGAATTATGTCCTATGGAGACTTGCCAGCACTGCAAGACTTACTGTCCACCAGAACAATCACCCTAGGCATCATGCTTGGGGATAGGACGCTCTTTGAGGTAATATCTAACGTTCAGTACTCAATGGAAAATCTGAGAGGGCTAACTATTTGTCGACCACAGTCGGCAGCCGTTTGCAGCCAGCCGTCTCTTTGCCGCTTCCTCGCCCAACAAAATCTTGAGTTATGCCTAGATGAGAAGTAAGGACGTAGATTACAAGGTATCCTTTTAAAGTATGCGGGCTAACAGAACGGCTAGCATCTCCAGGCCGGATCACTGGGCCGGGTTGATGGTTGATACATCTTCTAATAACCGGCGCCGTCTTTTTGAAACGGATGAAATTGTCCAACTTACACAAGTACCCAGGCTTATGAGATTTAGGCCACTGGCCAGCTGCATTTATGATCTAGAGTCTCTGGTTGTCTTCTACAATCGGTGCAGAGTGCCGGCCCTGGATGAAATGGAGAAAAATGCTTTCCTCAATGCTGTCTGGGACATGGCAGTTTACCTTTTGGTAATGCAGGCCCACCAAGATCCTTTTTGCTTTCGAGAAGATCGGCGAACAAAAGATTGAACTCGCCTTTTTGTCGAGTTGATTAACGAAGGTGTGGATATTCACAGGATCTGCAACATCTAGAACTACTATGCATTTAACCGCAATCAAAGGCATGAAACTGTGCTTTGCTTGATTATTCGCAGCTCGCCCTGCCACTACGTAGTCGACGCTGCCCTTTCCCACTGGGTAAGGAACTTGCTGGCAGCTCGGGTTGATGTTGCCAGGTATCTCCAACGCGAAGAACCCGGTTTCCAGCAATACGTCGATTGGACACACCCTCTTAACAACCTACAATAGCAGTCACAACAAAGATTGCTGGGTTTGACGTCCCTGTACCGCGCCGATATGTCGACCCACACAGCAGAGCATACGAAGTCAGAAACGAGTTCAAAAAATTTGGCCCGCTTCTCAAAGGCGACGTTTGGCTCGAGCAATCAAGCTTCGTGCTAAATATAGAAAACGCGCATGGTCAGCAGCACGTTGCGATGAAATTTTGCCAAGTCTTTGAAGAAAACGACGAGGAATGGCCATTTGTTCTCAACTTTATACGCGATTATGATGCAGCCGGGCGACACCCTTTTAATTGGAACAATCGAGGGCCCCCAGGCGATCCTTCTGCAGGTTTCCTATACGCCAGGGAATTCATGCAGGAGAGGTTCAACAGAAAGCAGATGAAAAAGCTCTATCGATCTGGATATCTCAAGAGGGAAAACCGGCCGTTGAAGATACCAGAAGCTTGGCCAGATTCCGATTGGTAGTCTCAAATGGCGATCACGAACCTACAAGCCCTCTACAGACAATTTCTATCATTCTCTTCAGCAGTGCATTCGCTAAAGGAAAATAATCACACATCTACGATGCCAGTAAATGTACTGCCTACCTTTCTTAACCTAAAATTCATATCATCTGGGGCCTATGAGGGGTGGCCGACGTCCTTTAGAACTCATGCGGCTTTGGGGGGTCTCATGGCTGCCTACTACGAGGGGAGTGAAATTAACTTCATAACCAGCTAAAGTGACAGGCTTAGAAGTTATTCTTACGAGACAGCTTTTCTCAAAGTCCTAATACATGTCTACGTTGATCTTTGCATAATTAAAAGCTAGCCTTCGAGGTTCAGCAGCCGGACGGATCTCAGCTCATATATGTTCTCTTCCTTCTGTGTTTGAGGAAGCCCTTTGCAGAGGGCGAGATCCCGCTCAAAATTTGGCTTACAGTAAAACGAATGGAATAGTAAGGCTCGATGCTTCGCTACGCTACGCGCGAGAATTGCTACAAATCTGTTTTCAATAGGACTTAGAGGAAGCTCCATCAGTCTGTTAATATCAGAAGACACAAGAAACTGGGGGGTTACCAGGTACCCGTTGTTGGAAAGGTGTAGAACGAGAACAAAGGTAGAACAGACTCATTAATCACAGAATACGGTTCATTTAAACTCTTCAGTCAAGCCACATAGGGTACACATATAGTAAATCGGTACCAGTTAGGTCTATGTGAATGTTCTCTTTATTACAAGATCGGTATTTGCCAGGCCAATACTCCCACCATGCATAACCGCCCTAGGCCCGGTTCATGCGGATTAGGCGCCTGTCTACGCTCAGAAAACAGTAAAGACCACCTTCGATTTGACAAAACCTCTCATCGTGGAGGATTGGGCAGCGGCCTGGGCCCGACAATCTGTCTACGACCCGCCCCGATGCCCTGAGCACCCCGATTCTGGTTGTCTCCGCCAGTATATCCCGCCCACTGGCTCACATCCCAGCGGCCTCCAATGCCACCGCCAATACCGTCAACTCCGTTGCCGCTCGGGACCGCCTTGGCTGTCTCCTTTTGAGACTCCTCCCACTCACGCTGGCGTTCACGTTCCATCTCCATCTCTCGCTCAAGCAGCGACTTTGATGCCCAACCGCCCGCCTTAGTCTTAGTCTGGCTTTGAGCGCGCCGGCGGTCCTCGCCATCTTGCTCAGAAGTAGCACCAAGCTCGCGTGAGTAAGTCTGCTTGGCGACTAATGGCGCAGGAGCCGCGTTGTTGTTGAGATATCTGTCAGTTCGGCTAGGTGGGGCCCGCGCAGCCGCTTGATAAGCGGCAGGATCCGGGAGGGGCCGGCCACCCGTCGTGTGCGCTACAACCTTTTGAGGAGGTGAAGCAACCGCCATCGGGTCAGGGAGAGGCCTCGGGGATCTGGGAGGCGGCGCGGGGGGCTCTTCATCCTGATGCGAGTCTTGATGCTGTGACCATGCAGTCTGAAGAACCTCGCGCTCACTTCTAGACCAGGAATCTTGACGACTAGGGGTTCCGTCGGAAGGCCGGCTCCTAGACCGAACACGTTCCTTGGGATCGTTGGTGACGGCCAGTGTCCTGCCCGTCCGTCCCTGGCGTTCAACTTCATATTGCCTTTCGCGCTCTCTCGCCTCTTCGAGCTCCCTCTCCAGCTCGGCAATCCGGTCGGCTCCAGTCTTCTGTGTTTTGATGCTTTGCTCAGACTTGTATTGGCTGAGAAACTGACCCCTCAGTCGTGCGTCACTTTTGCTCCTCAGACGGCTTTGTTCCTCGTTCAAGCGAGCTTGAGCTTCAGCTTCCTTTTTGCGGCGATCATCGTCTTTCGCTCGCCATTCCTTTTCCTGCCTGTCCCATTCGAGCTTCTCTGCCTGCGCTTCCTCTTCCGCTTGCCTCACTTTCAGCAGTCGTTGCTCCTCTTCTTCTTGTTTTCGCATAGCCTCGCGTTCGAGCTCTAGTTTCTTACGTCTCTCTGCGTCCTCTTGCTGTTGCTGTTGCCTCTGATACTCCTCCTCGAGTTCCTTCTCCTTCCGCACGCGCTCCTTCTCAGCCAGACTAGGCACTGCAGGACCCGCACTTGTAATCTGCCTCCGACTTCCAAATGAGATTCCTAGGTTTCCTTGGCTAGCGCCGCCCATGTAGCCGTACTGAGCAATGTTCCAAGCGGGGGATGTGGCGCCCTCGTGTTCCTTTCTGCTCCAGCTGGTAACCGGGGAAGTTGGCTTAGTCGGGCTCCATCGACCCGAGCCGGAGTCTCCGGTCTTGGCGCTGGTAAGGGTAGGCCGAGGCGAGCCGAAGCCCGATGCATTGGAGAACCCGCGCGATCTCGTGGGCGATGGGGTTCCGCGACCAGTTCCTTGAGGGCTCATCACTCCTCCTCGGCTCCGGCTCCCGATTGCTGACGGAAACTTGGCTGGGTTCGCGGCGTTGGCGGCTCGACTGAAAGCGCCAAGGCATTGCAGCACTTGGGCAGGATCCTTTTGCTCAAATAAGTCGACGGTCAGGAAGACATCGTGGTCTTGGAGGTTGAGAGGGGGTTGTTTGCAGGCGCGTAGAAAGTGAGAGATATTTTCCATCTGAACAAACGGCATGGCCGACTTTTTAAATTTGACGCCTGGTGGTGGTATCGCGAGGTTGATCAATCTAAGATATCGGGGTCAGTATTGGTAGCTGCGTGAGATGTTGATTGACGCACTTGCAGAGCGCAAGGCCATCCTTGAGTCCCTCTAGCAGGTCGCCTGCTGGTAGTCTTTCCCCCAAGACTCCTTCGATCCAACTACTGACTTCCTTTGCAGCAGCCGGGGTGTACTTGTCTAGGCGCAATTTGCGCAGATCCTTGTCTAAGGACGATACTGACGCCATGATGGCTTCGTCGACTAGCGAATGATTGATTGAGTCTTTCGTATCGCGGGACCAAGTCGGTTCTTGCAGGAATAGGAGCTTCGAGGTTGATTTCGTGAGGGCGTTTCAGTAAGGCGGCGGTTAGGCGCTGACGTCGGCGGGGTCCGGCGATGACGGAGTGCAAGTGACGAATGCAAGCAAGTCTCTATCGTTCGGCGCGCGTTGCGCGGGACTTTCTTCAGGTGATGTAGATGTTTACTCGTTCGCGTGTCTCCAGTCTTTGGGAGTTGAAAACAGGTGTGAAGTCAATGTTTTGCGGGGGAATCAAGGCAGTCGGGTGGCAGGTTGAAGTGATTGGAAGGCCCGACGAAGAACACTCGTGGTGGGGAAGTTTTAATTGTTTATGCATCTAGAACCAGGCGCCGCTGGCGGGAACCTGGATAAGGTGACAGGACCTAGGGTCCGGCTGGACCGCCGCGGTCTTGCGGAGTGACGTGTGCGGTGGTGGCTGGCGGGGCCAATGCAACTCTGATTCTGCGAACGCTCAGTCGCGGGTTCCCTTGTAGTACCTACCTAGGTGTGAAGAAATATGTGGCTGATGATAAGATACGCCATTCCTCGGCCAAATTTCAAGTGGCTGTGCAATCCAAGGTTGACCTCATTACTTTTCTAGAACTTGGCGACTTTCGCATCTAGAAGCCATGGGTTCCTGATCGAAAATATTTCTTTCCCAACCCCCCATTCCAAACAGCGCAAATGTCTTCGACACGGATATCACCAATCATGGAGGCGTGGTACAAGTGGAAGTCGCTCAGACTGCCATGGCGCAAACGCTTCCTCGTCGGCATGTTCCCGTCCCCATCCCCGGCACATCGGTTCCCTTGTCAATGACCGTGGAAAACTAACACGCTCGGTTCTAGGCCGTGACCTGCAGGGCTACACTTTCTGGGAGTTTCGAGAGTCCCGTGGAAACGGTCCCGGCCGCTTCCGCCGCATCGTCAACTATCCCCGATCAACCTACCTCTCCGACGTGAAGGTGTCCCCGCTGTGGCATCAATGGCTGCGCTACACCAGAGAAGACCCCCCGACACTCGAGGAACAAACAAGAGAGGCATTCCGACAGGAGCGGATGAAAGTCTTGTCCGCGCAGGCCGACGCGAGATGGGAGGCAAAGCCTAGGCTTACCGATGCCCCAGGCCAGCAGACCGGTCAACCCCTGCCGTCTTTGAACACTGCGCAGTCACAGCTCACAGCGGCGGAGCTGGAGGCGGCAAATACGAATGCAAAGACGACAGAACCGCCAAAGGAGCAGGCTATACCTGCGACCGATGCGAAGAAGAAATATGGCAAGGACCCTTGGGCGAAAGCCAGTGGACCAAGCGAGGACTGGCAGCCTGAAGCTTGGGTGCCGCCGTCAGGGAAGAAATAACGACTTGAAAGACGGCTTGCCAACTGTGTATTACTAGACGTCGGAAGAAATCTCCGCACATGTACCAACAATAATTTGAGACCGGACCCGGCTGTAGAGCCCATGAGGTCGGCATCGGTACCGTTGGCTCATAAAAGACTGCCCCGGCAGCGTATCTGTACTTGCTTGCCATCCGATCCAAACGCCTGAACGCCCAATTCCTGCTATTCCATACCCAAATCCTGACGCCATGTCTCGTGACAAGAGCTCTACTGGGCAATCGGTACTTCAGTCGACGTCTTCCCGCTTGGTCTCCTTCTCCAGAGAGCCTCGAAGTCTCTCCTCCTGTCTCCTCCAATGGCTTCCCTCCTCGTAGTCTTTGCTTATCCTCAAAGCGCTCCGTAGTCTCTCGCTTTCTTTGATCTTGGCATCTGCCATCTCATGCACTTGATGGCTCTTGAAGTGCTTTCGTACGGGACCGCCGCCGCCGCCGCCGCCACGGCTGTTCTTTTGTTTCTCGAGCTCGGCCAGTAGTTTCTTGCGCATTTCGTCGCATCGCTTCTCAACTTCTTCCTCGTCGAGGCTAGAGCACCATTAGTATCCTTGCATGGCCAGGAACGGGGGAGGGGGATAAGCTTACCCTTCGTCTTCGAGGGTATCGCGCAGGTCGAGGACCTTTACCTCTACCTCGCGCTTGCGATCATGCTCTAATATCTCTTTATCGGGCTGTCGCTGCTTGTGGCGGAGCGTGTCGGCGTCTTTGGGAGGGTAGGGCGCGCCATAGTCGCGTGGGCGCATATGCGCAAGGTTGCGTTGAACATAGCCCGAAGTACCGCTGCCACGAGGCGTTGAGAGACCGACGTTGTCAGACATTGTTACTGAAATGGTGCAGTGCGTGTCGTCTCGAATCGGAGGAAACAATCAATGCGCTGTTTATGTTGATCCTTCGAGTCTGTGTTGATGGGAAAATCAAGATGTATCTCGGTACTTTGGATCTGCAGGAGACGTCACCGAGACTAGACCCTTGGCAGTGGTACCACGGACGAAGTTCAGTTGGGCCTTGAAAGGCGGTGAAAGTGGATGGAGAGATGGGGGCCGGCAGAAAAGTTATGACGGGTGGGATGGTGGGGTACTTTCTGCTTTGGGGCGATGGGAAGACTCACTCATTCAGGGCGTGAAGACTCATCGATGTAAGTGAGTAACAGAGCGAATTTCGTTTCATCACACACTTTTGCCAGAGCCTCGGGGCTCAAACTCACTCAAAAACCGGACCAAAACACCTGCAATTTCCTTCCAAACACTTCAGCCAAGACTAGCTCTCATTCTCGACGATGCCGTCTCTTGAAGGTCTCACTGAGGGGCAGCCAACCCTGGACGCCATCAACAATGCAACTGCCCAAGAGACCGAGGAACTCACTTTTCCGCCAGTCACGAAGGAGCATATCTTGAACTGCTCATACGATAGTTGGTTCTCAAAGTACCGGACTGTGTCAATCAGATCCAGGATCATCAAGCTATCACCTGACTTTGTCCAATACATCCGTGACGACGGCATCATTCTTGCCGACGACAACGAGCCGCAGGAGGACGAAGTAGAGGAGGAGTGGTCTGCTTCCTCGAATACAACCGGCGCACCGCGACGTAACCAACATCTCGAAGAAGATGACTCCGACGACGAGCCTGAAGCTGATTGCCGGCCGCCCAACGAGCGATTCCCTGAAATCCACCAAGAGATCAAGGAGAGGATCAAGGAGCTGGGTGGTGCCGTTGCGCCAAAGCTGAACTGGTCCGCACCGAAAGATGCGGCCTGGATTTCATCGCATCAGAATACGCTGAAATGCACGACGCCGAACGATATTTACCTCTTGCTCAAGAGCTCTAGCTTCGTCAGCCATGACCTGGAGCACGCCTTTGAGGATACCGTTCCCTCCTCCTCGAACAGGCCTTTCCAACCAGTTTTGGTCTTGAGACCCTTCTTCTCGCCAAACCCGGCCCTCGAGTTCCGGTGCTTCGTCAAACACCGCACTCTGATTGGTCTTTGCCAGCGTGACTGGAACTACTACCCCTTCCTCGATGGCTTACGGCCCGCCTTGGTTACCAAGATCACCGATTTCTTCGAAGACCGTCTGCGCTTCACCTTCCCAGATGGCTCCTTCACTTTTGACGTCTACGTCCCTGGTGACAGCGACTCACGCGACGAGCTTGGCAAGGTGCGCCTTATCGATATCAACCCATGGGCGCCTCGGACAGATAGTCTACTCTACAGCTGGGTGGAGTTGCTGGAGTTCAAGGTTCCGGGGCCTATCCTAGGCTCAGTCATCAACAAGGAAGAGGTCGTTCGGATAGGCCCAGGTGACAAGGAGGAAGAGCCTTCTGGAGGCAGTGGTGTTGAGGAAACGACAGACGATGAAGACGTTGATGAACTGGTGCCTGAGTTGAGGTTGGTGGAAAAAGATAACCCGGCCGCCTTCAACTTCAGCACACCGCAATACTCGGCGCACAAGCTTCCCAAGGAGGTCGTTGAGGCCAGTATGTCAGGCGACGGCGGTTTGAGGGAGTTCGCTCAGAGGTGGAAGGAGATGACGGAGGCTGAGGGTGGCGGCGATGTCTGGGAGAACCCTCCCACAGCTAAGTCGTGAGGTCCATCGTGTCGAGGTGAAAGACTGAAAGATCACGTTGAGAATGACCGCACCTGCAATGAGATCAATATTAAAAAAAAAAAAAATTCCAAACCGGAAGATTTATAGATGGTCAAGGTTGGCTCTCCCCGTTGCTGCGTATATTTCTTATTTCCTGTCCCACTCTAGGTACTTGAAAGGTTCTTCCCTTGCGTTCCAAGGGATGTCTTGGCTCAGCCAAAGGAAACCAGCATTGCTAAAGCAGTATAGTGAAAGACCATTTGCCCGACATCTCCAGTCTTTGACATGAGAAGGCCGCCTGTCACATGAAGGTCATAATCGTCAAGGTGAAGTAAGTGACGTGATTGGTGACATGGCACCTTCTAATATCTTACCGTATCTTATCCTCTCAATTCCAGGCGCTTGATATCGATTACATAATACTCGGCAAAGGTTAGGCGGAGAACTTCTGGCCCGAGCTCCCACTCCAACTTGCACCACAATGGAAGCACCCAAATTATGAGTGGGACCCAACAGCAATCAGCAGCTTCTTCCCGCTCAATCAACACCAGCTCTTTCGAGCCCCCAAACTCCTCATCACACACTCTTTGCAGCTGACACCAGCTGCCCACTCTCAACGCCACTTATCATCGCCGACTAGCTAGAGCTCACTCACAGTCCACCATCGCAAAAGAGGCAGCGTCCTCTTCGATTACCCCATGAGTGCCCGAGGCGGAAGCCGACCACCTCCTCGAGGCCGCCCAAACAAGGTGACGAAGCCCACAGCCGGCCTCAAGAGGGACGCCCACGGCCGCGCCAGCCGACACTCCTCCGTGGCAGCCGACCAGCTCGAGCAGCTCGCCCACGATGCGGAGGCTGAGGCCGAACACGAAGATGACGACGAGATAACCGCCCCTCCCCAACATCACCAACATCATCACCAGCAGCAACACCACCCGCACCCCTTCGACCTAGCCGCCGCAGGCATCCTAGCCAACGGTCCTCCCGGCACAGTACCCGGTGCTGACCCCGATATCCATCCCGACCTGCACAGCCTACCGGCCCAGTTCGCCATGGAAGCTCAGATGGGCGGCCATGGTCCCGGCGGCATGTCGAGGACGGCCGAAGACCTCGCCTCCGAGAGTGGGTACGGCCAGCTACTCATCGACAGTGCCCTCGCCAAGCGACTGGCCAACAATGAAGGAGAGCGACTTGCAGTACAGCGCCGCCAGGATCAAACTCTGAACCTCAAGAGAAGGAGCAATGTTGAGGCACTACTGGCTCACGTATCGGGACAGGAAGCTCATAGTCCCTGCAAGAGTTGCCATAAAGGATACGGACCCTGGAATGGATGTGTGGTCGTTAGTGGCCAGATGTGTGGTAGCTGCGCCAACTGCTGGTTTAACGCGAGCGGCTCACGCTGTTCTTTCCACGGTAAGCAGAAATGGCCCACAAACTCGACCAGATGTCAACGTGTTGGGTGACTGACAGAGCCATACACAGAGAACAACCTACCTCAGCACATGCCAGCCATACAGCTGCAGCCTGTGCCACAGGTGTCGGCGAACACAAGCTTTGCCGGCACAGCGCCGATGGCTCCCGGCATGGCCCCCGCAGGCCCCAGCTTCGGGCAGCCAGGCGCCGATCCGACCATTGGCCAATTCGTGAAAGATGTGCTGGACAGAGCGATGGCGGAGGCACGGAGCGATAACCCCCACGTTCGATTCCAGCTCCGGATCGAAACGGCGGCGCGGCAGCTAGCATTAGCTAGCGCCGAGTACGCCGAGTTCCTCGCCCAGCAGGGGGCCCACGATCCGAGTCAGCATCCCGACCCAGAGGGCTCCGTTCCGGAGGCGGCGATGGGGGAGGGGGATAACGGGGCGTGAGAGAGAGAGGCTCTACTCACCTTTCCTCCCCTCCATGCTTTCTGCTTACATCTTCGAGTACCGAAGTGTAAAAGACGAGATGAATTCGATCATCGGGACTGTAAGGCGTCTTCAGGTCTGCCAAGTTTTCGGAGTTGCCAAGATGGGGTGCCCGAGTCGCCGACACTGCGCCTTAGCAGTCGGGCAGCAAGTATCACGACGTATGGCCTTCTTCACCGTCATCGTACCACTTTAAATTTAGGAGCAGGCTAAAGTCAGGTGCTTGACTTACTCGCTCATCAGCATCTCCAGTAATCTTCCCTTGGCACTTGCATCGTCAGGCCCCGCCCTGTATGCGAACACATGGACTTGGACAGCAACACGACAACGTCACAACGAAACAGGACGCGAGAAGGATTTGGGATATACCCTGCTCAAAGAAACCAGAGTAGCCATGCGGCCAGAACTACAGGATGGACAACACAGACGACACAAAGGGAAAGCGGACATCGGAGGACAATCGTTGGCTGGCTGGGCCTCAGACACACAGCTGTGTTCCAAGAAAGGGCTGGGCTACAGCTACTTGGAAGTAGTCGTTAATGGTCGTACGCAAACAGATAGATTGATACCAGGGGCTCGTCAAAGCAAAACGTCCGCATGGGTGAAACTTCTCCAGAGTACTATAACCAATTCCGAGGTCATACATTGCAAACCAGCGTATCTCAGATGGGCCAGCAGATATCTGAATATCTTGTCTTACTCACTCTCACTCACTCACACCTGACCTCTTGGCTTACACAGTACAACATCTCATACCGGCTTCACTCCAATCCCCGAACCTATAGGCTATAATATTGATCACAAGCCTAGGATGTTTCTACTGTTGTGGGGCTGTACAATACCTTAGCTAAGTCTCATACTAGGACGATCCCGCCGCACCATAGTCCCGTCACGGGAAGCGAAAACACATCCCTTGTGCCCTTCCCATCTATATTCCGTCTTGTCATATATCCTCTTGTTTGGAAAAGAGGTCCAACAGATTTACCTTTCATTCGCTGCTACTCCATTTCACCTAACCCGCCTCCGCCACCAGCCTGACAAATCGTCCGACGTTCAATGTGAGGCCACCCGTCCATCATCCGTTGCAACAGTCCGTCTTACATTGAGATGCTCACCTACCCGGTACGGAGTATAACTGCTATAGGGTCAAGAGCGGACGGCCACTTTACAGAATGCAGATATCCGACAGCTTAGCATGCGCCCTCCCGCTGCTGGACATTTGGTGTGACAGCGTATCCCCAAGCAAGACGAGTACGATTTTCCTTCAGCTTCTTGCATGTCTCATCAGTCCAAACTATCTGCCCAATCAACTCATCGATTTCGGCTTCGCTCGGGGAAGCAGACGGAGAGAGAACTAGGTATTCATGCCCTCTGTGTGGTGACTTGTTCCAACCGTGCTTTCCTACGCATGCTTCCCACTGGCGTGTATTTGTTCAATCTTCGTCCCAAGAAGCCCGAAAACACCACCCATATATAGTTCACAACGATCCCAAGTTAAGTCACACAAACCTTGGAGCCCGAATTCGACGTCTCCAATGAGAGCTATTCTACACACAGACACACACCAGCTGCCAATTCAGCCCCCTCCTCCCCTTTCCAACGGTCAAGGTGAAGTCTGATTTGCCTACTCCACTCCACCCGTGATGGTCGTGTCTACGCAGGAAAATAGACTTAAATTTTATTCCCGGGAGGATGTGAGCAGATGGAAATGTTCAAAGCGCGATCCCTTCCGCAGTCGGTGGGCAGAGGCGATTGCGAAAGAGAGCGCACAGCGCTGTGTAAGCGTGCGGCGTGTTCGTGTATCTGTACATATAAACCTGGGCAAAAAAAGAGAGAGAGAGAAAGAAAGACAAACGCAATCTGTATGAAACATCACGTCGCCACTCCACACAACCCCCAACTCTGTCTCATTCTCTTTTCACTTATCCCGATATGAGTCCCTTCTCATCTAATCTAACGCCCTCCAAAAGAAAAGTACACGTGTATACGGAGATGTTGTAAGGAGCGAGATCGCATCGTCCTCCCGAATTCTCCGACTTTGGCTGAGGCGAAGCAATGGCACAGTGAACCCCTCTTCTCCTCCACCAGCAGTCCAAGTCTTTGCTCCCCCCTTTGTCTGTTGGAAATGAAAGGGGCCTCTTAACGGAGTCCTCGAATCCGGTCCATGTTGGAGGATATTCCTGCATCCAGCAAGACCCAAGGTCACGTTGCAAAGAATGGCCAATATAACGACTGCGTACTAAACATATCACAACTCACGTCATTCGTTGGTCTGAAGAAGGGAGCGGGGGAGGTAACACTTGGGCTGCGGGCAGGGCAGGGCATACCAATCCTGCGACGTGTTTGAGAATCGGGGAGGGGAGGAAGCAGCTAGACACACCAGCATCATCTTCAGACGGGATGGAAAGGACATGATCCTTACCAATATCACGACGATGAAGGCCCCCGGCACCGGATCCCGCCTTAACCATCACCAATAACACCAAACACCACTGTGTAGTATGTAGTGTGCTTCTCAACTTGGGCAATTTGTCTGTGTATATGTGCAAGTTCGGGGCGGCAGCGGCAGCGCAACACCCACCCCATGAGCTTAGCTCGCCCTCCGCCTGTGCGTGGTTACTGTGTACTGTACGTAGTAAGTAAGCCCTTTCTGCCCAAGGACCTGCCATCCTTGTCGACGATCACTCCAACAGCTTCTTCACCATCGATTCATCCCCTTCACCTGCGTTTGCCCTTCGAAAACAACTATATACGCCAAGCCTCGAATCACTGAACTGCCAATCTAATGTAACCTGTTCCCCTTTGCTTCTCGTCTCGAGTGGCAGGTCCAAGTGAATGGCATAGGTAACGCCACCCGCTCGTCTTCCAAAAGCTCGCGCCACCACACCCAAACCAAATCAACAACCCGCCTCCCGTCCCGTCCCCATCCCCAAATGTATCGTCAAGTCTTGAACTATACCCCGCATATGCCTTATCGCAATAGGTACTCAATGATGTGTGCTCGTGCGTCTTTTGAACACTCCTCGTAAACCGTCGGCCACACCGTCCCCCCTTTACCTTTCTTCGCCCACCCTCTACCCCGTTGTAAGGCAACTCAAAATTCCAGACCAAAAGAGAAGCAGCCAGACGAGGCGGATGGCGAAGACGAAGGAGGCGGCGCGCGGCGGCATGGAAGAGGAGAGCAAAGGACCCCTTGCGGCCTTAAAGTGTACTTCAAGAAGGGGGAAAAAAGATGGTGTGGTGATGCTAGGTGCTAGGTGCCGGGCATTCGCGGCTGATGACGAAGACGATGGTCCTCGACCCAAGCTTATACTAAGCTGCACTACGCTTCGTCCGGGAGGCTTTGGTAGAGTTAGGTAGGTCCCCTTACGCACATTACGGGAAAACCTTGCCACGGACGGAAGCGGCGTTGACTTGCAAAGACCGCAAACGGTGCAATGCGGACAACGGAGGCGGACACGACGACGCCGGTCCTGGACGTGACGCCGGGTCTCGACCAGCCTACCGTCCCAAGCTATCTACCTTGTCCCCAGTGCGCGACGGCAGATAGCGATCTTCACAATGGGATTCTGACGGATGTTGAAAGTGATCGTGTCTGGCAGACTAGCTGCAATCGCGGGACGCCATGTATCGCCAGATCTCAACGCTCGTAGGTGTGCATTATAGACTACAACCGGTAGGCCTTCCTATCGCGGGCTCACATCGTCAGATGCGTGAGGAGCCTTGGAGGAACGGCCGGTCAGCTACGCATCATATCACCATGGCTCGAGAAATAAGGAGATTTTCGTAATTAAACAGAATATTTAGCCACCTTCCATCCATCAGGCTCTCTCAAATGCATTCAAGTTCATTGCTTCTTTTCCTCTTGCTATCCATCCTTGGGAGCCACCTTTCCATCTCACTCTCTCCTGCCCCCCATCTCACTTTCCCACTGCCACTGCCCGTCCACAGTAGGATGCCATCTTCCGCGGCGAGCCCATCTACTGGTCGAGACATCATGTTTGGTACAAGACTACCTCCCACCTTTCCCCTCTTATTCCTGAACGCGGGCCAACAAGAGCACAACCAAAAACGTATACCGCCTGATTCGCGAGGCAATATACAGGGGGATAGCCGAGAGGTAGGAAGAAAAATACAGTCGCGTAATCAAGGGAATCTTGGGAAACCGTCGGGTCGCCGTCTCATCGTTGGGAAGAAAGTTAATTTCATGAGCCAGCCTCCCCACGACGCTTTCTGGCTTGGGTCATGCAATTAGAAGTAAAGGGTATTGTAGAAAAAGCAAACGTTTTTGTTGTTCAAATCAGACCGCACAACCGCAGGTTCTCTTGAATGATGATGTCTGGTTAAGAAGTTAGCTTGAGTCTCTTTGTGCGCTTTGTCTCACGCAGTGTGGTGAACATTGAACTTACCATTCACTGCCGCCATGACGAAGCGGATCTGGGTTGTGTCTGTCGCGCAGGTGAAGTGCGTGTAAATTTGCTTAGTCTCATGCTGGTTCAAGCTGACGAATCGATTGAGGATGTAGTCGCATGCAGCAGCATAGTCATCTCCACCTTCGTAGTCGGGGAAGTAGTTCTTCATCGGGCTGACGGGGAGCTTCTCCTTGAAGCGATCGATCTTGTTCAAGAAGAGGATGATAGACGTCTTGATAAACCATCTAGAGTTGCAGATGGAGTCGAACAGGGTCAGGGCCTCCTGCATACGGTTGACAGTCTCGTCCTCAAACAGCAGTTGGTCGTACTCGGAAATGGCGACTAGGAAGAGAATAGTCGTGACATTCTCGAAGCAGTGAATCCACTTCTTTCGCTCAGATCGTTGACCACCGACGTCGAACATTCTGTAGGTCAGGTCGCCAATGATGAATGTGGTTTCTGTGATGCCCGTCGTCTTGACACGCGATCGGAGGACATCCTGGTCGTTGGGCATGTAGTCGGGAGCGGCGATACGCGCGATGTTGTCGAAGTAGCTAGGTTTTGTTAGCGCACATGGTAATTGGTGATTTGAAGCCTGACGAGCGGCCACTTACTATCTTGCCGAATCGTTGAGCTGGTATTCGCGAGAGCGCTTGAAGCACTCTTGCACACCTCGGTCCTTCCACAGCGCCTCAATCGCGCTTCCAACTTCGGGAGGCAGAACATCGCCCTCGATTTGGGCGGGCTGCATGAAGATGGTCTGGACATGATACTCCATGCGCTGGTCCTCAAGGGGAAGCTCCAAGGACTCCATTGCCTCGAGAATGACACGCATGGATTGCACCGTGTTGCTGAAGATAATCTCCTTGAAGGATTCCCGTTCATCGCGTGAGTAACCGCCCTCGTGGATCAGCTTCATCTGTTTCAGGATTGTCGACTTTCCGGATTCTCCAGCACCTACATGACTGTTAGAGAATCATTGTGCAGCGATGCGATGGCTGAACGTCGTCTGATGGCATTGGGCATGCAGCGCAGAGGACAGGGCATCGCAGACAGATGTTGACTTACCCAGAAGAAGCATCTTGATCTCGTTGCGCTGCATCATCTTGTCCCTCTTCAGCTGGTTCTCGATCTCCTCGTTGCGGGCCTTGCCCTCCTTGTCCTCCGTGCTCATTCCGCAACCCATTTTGGCGGCTTGGTGTCGTTGGAAACGACGACTGGTAGAATAAAACTGATGGGATTAAAGTGAGTTGGGGATTCTGTAAAGAATCGGGCGTTGCGCGTTGGAGGGGACCTGAAAGAAGCAAAGCTTGTTAGCCAACCAGGTCGCAGGTGGGTGTGATGCCGGCGGGCAAACGAGAGAGACGGGTCGAATTGTTTGGGGGCGACGGGCTGGAATGCGAAGTTGATCCAGGCGATGGCGGATAAGAGGGCGAATAGTCGAAAGGCAAGGTCGAGGGAGGATGCTAGCATCGAGCGAGCGGGTGGGTGGAAGTGTTTCTCCTTCCTAGGCTGTCTCTTCTGGTGTCTCGTTCGTTTCGCTTTCTCAATTCCCAGTGGCTCGATGTCGGCGCCAGCAAAGTTGGAGGATTCGTGGTGCGTGTCTCTCTCACTTTTGCCTGCATGCGGTAGGGAAAGGATTTTGTTGAAACTCACCTCTTGGTCTTTGGATTGATGATGGAATCAATCAATTGACGATGAGTAGAAAAACGCAGCAAACAGGAAAAGAAAACACGAGCCGTTGGGCGGACGGTGGGAGGATGGGATGGTCGCGACAGGATTGGAAGACCAGGAGCAGGAGAGGGAGAGAGAAAAGAGAGGAATGGGTTGGGAGGTGCCTCTAATGTGGAGAGGAGAGATGGGAAAGGGCAAGGGTGGAGGAGTTATGAGCAAGGATGGCGGCGACGTGCTGCGAGGAACCAGAGGATAGTGGGAGAAAAAAGAGTGGGCGGCAGTCGTCGCCGGGGCGGACAATGCGCTTCGGGGCGAGGTACGAAGATGGAAGTATACTGTGTGAAAAGGGAAGGAAAGAGGCACGGCGGATGCGAGGAAATGGCGAATTGGGCGGTCTTTCCAAGTTGGTTGATAATAAGGAGGGGGCACTGGGAGGGGGAGGGAGGCATGGGGGAAGGAGGCACGGAGGGAACCAGTGGCAGTGATGCCAGCCCACCTGTCCAGTGTCTACCTGGGTTGTGTATCCGTACGGAGGAGCTAGGTACCTAACCCAGTACCCTACTGTCTACCGATGGGAGGCGTCCCGTTCTTTTGGACTTCAGATTGACAGCCCCGACTGGCTGTACCTGGCCGTGACGGAGGAATTGGCAGTGAGACTAGGGGCTTTTTGGGGGCCATCGCCGGGCGTCCTCGACGCTGAAGCAGCTTGGTGGGGGACGCTGGAGGCTCCTCCCCGTGGCCAGTGCGTAGCAACGTAGGTATTTTACACCTCAAACTCGGGCTCACTGGATCTCAACTCAACTCATTACCAGCTCGTACTCTGCTCAATTATTGCAATCCATATTCCATGGGAGTTTGGTTCATCTTGTGGCCTCCAGAATAACTTCACAAGAGAAGCTTGCTGGCAAAAATCAAGGTCAGGAGCATGGTCAGTATGTGCGGTGTGGGTAATGGTCTGGACGCGAATATTCAACTAGGTACCTATCCGTACGGCGCGTCCCTCTGGCTTTAGTGCAGGGGCCAACAGGGGCTTGGAGTTCCAGAAGCACGGACAAGGTACGGAGCACTTCGTACATGTCCTGGCCTTGATTTTGGTGCTAAGCTGTCTCTGGTGCGGCCCGGTACGTATCCACCGGTACCTGCTTTATGTGATATATAGCCTTACATAAGGGTAGGTACGTACTCCTCGTTACATTTAGCCCCAGTTTCTGTCCTGCCCTTCCCTGTCGCTATTGTCTTAGGTTGTCCTGTCATCGCCCGTCTCGTCCTTTCCTGAGCTAAGCTAACGTCCATGTTCAGCGCCGTCTTCTCTCCCCAAGCTGACACTGAGGGATGCGGTTAGAAGCACCGCAGATCGGGAAGCCGATGAGATGGATGCTTTGTCTGTACCGTCCAGTACGGAGTACCTACGCACATCTACCTACTCTACTCTCTGCTCTTGTCCAATTGTCAGAAACACACGACCAGACGGACAGGGACCTCGTCAACCAATCGACGACAACCTACTAGACCTAGACGGAGACGACGACCAGGAGTGTCTTCCAGCGGGCGTGGATCCGCACCTGGGCCTTTGCAACGTCGAAATCACCGTGGCCGGGCCAATGATCAGTAGAGAGGAGCTCGGCGAGGTCTCATCCAGCCAGAAGTTGCCCGCAACGAAGCCGAAGTCCCCTGGACTCTGGAGTCCCTGGCGTCCCTGGGCGGGAAAAGAACAGGGGAAAGGGGTCTCGCACTGGTTTGCCTGGCCTGACTGGTCTGAAAACTCCTTGTTCGCCGCCCTGACTAATGTAAAATTTCCTCGCGCTACCGCTGACCACAGACCAGGCACGGAGATGGCCTCTCTGGGCCCTGTGTGAGCTCTTTCTTCGGCCGGGTACAAATCCGCTAACTGCAATGGGGCTCCTTGTTCCTTCTAGACTACTGGTTCCGATACAATTTGTTGCTGTGTGGTAGTTAATATGGATCAAGCCACCTTGGTGACTGATCTAGGAACAATAATTAGGTGAGAAGCACGAGCCAATGCCAATACGAACGGGAACATTGACATATCGCTCTTAGCTGACGTACATTTGGCAGATTCATGGTTCGCCGTCTATCACGGCTAGAAAACATCACGATGATTCCTACGGGTGCGATTTCTGTAAGCATTCGACGACCCATCCTCTGCCGACCGGCAGTAGCACTTGCGGGTGTGGAGGACTCGGGAGTCGGGGGGCGGGCTCAGTACCAGTCCCAACCAAGGAGAAGAAAATCTGCACGCTTCCTTTTTCGCAACCATCTGCACCAGAGACTGCAGCTGCACCCAACGCCAGACCATTCAGCGCGGCCAAGCAGACGAGAGATCCACCCATCCACCACCTGCCCAACATGGATGTGTAATGGAACATTGGAATTTGAGCAACTCCTTCGATCAAAACTTCCATCGCAGTTCTTGAAACACAACTGTCCTCGTCAGCCGCCTCCTTAACGTAAGGAAGTTACCGGTTGCCGCGGGCAAGGTCCTATCCACACGTTCCGGGTCCTCCACAAGATCTACGGCCGCGGCCTCTCTGGCTATCGAGTACGGAGTACCTACCAGACCTATGCCCTACTTATTCGTTGGCCATGTACAGATCTGGATCTGGATATTAGTTGGACGCCAAACTGCATTGTACACTTTTACCAAGCAAACAAGTAAAGGACCCAAACTCTCATTACACTCGGCCGTCACCTTTTGATTCGTCTGAGAACGCTTCTACAATCTGCACTGCCTCGACTTAGAAGACAGACCACAAATTTCGAGGTGGGACAAAGAACCCACTTCCTCAGCAAAGACAGCTTTCCATCAAAGTAGGACTAAGCTGCATGAGTGCAAGTAGCATTCCCTTTCTTCTCTGCCTCGGAGTGGGAACTCATGCTGTCAACTCAAAAAAGAGCCAGACACCAATGGGCCGGTCCATCGCTCTAGTTCTCTTTCATCCATCAGAAAGAACCGGGCCCGCATCAGAGCTACGGCCCCACGGTCACTGCGCTTACTTTCATCATCGCGATTCTAGGTCCGTGCAAGCGTCTCTGCCACCACACATGGCATCAACGATACCCCGTCAGACCCGGGAAACCAAGTGCGCAGCCCTCTTCTCGAACACCTTCTTGCATTTATTGGGACAGACATCGGAATCTCGGAATGCCCTGATATCAGATCATCATTAGAATTCTCGCCTCCCTGTTCACTCCCTGCATCCACTGGCAATGTTTGGCCGCTCCACCTCTGTTATACCACACACTGTCTATCGGACTGGTCTAGCATTTTCTCCTTGACGAGATCATCGTCTAGGGCAAATTACAAGACTATTAAATGTGTTCAAAGGCGAGATGACCAGACTAGTAGCTTGCTTGCCATTGCCCATGTGTTTGCTTCAAAGATCGTCTCACTTAGGAATTCTCTTGTCAGCGCGTGGCGCAAAATTTCCAGAAGTAAGAAGCAAACACGATTGGGAAAGGGCAAGCAGTCTGTACCCAGACATACACACACAAGTCCAATCATCCGGGTAAGTGGCGTCCAACACCTCGACTACCTGTTCAACATCAGTTTCAATCTTGACTATCTGGACAATGTCTTGGCCGGCTCACGTTGGGGGTTGTTATTATCTCGGGAAGACAAGACTTTATGTCGACTTTTCTTCTCCCCGACCCCATCATCAAAGAGATTGTTGACAACAACTGCATTGTTTGCGGCTGGTCATCGTATCGCCCAGTTTGACTCTTCCCAAGTTTCCAACGACTTGGGGCCTCCGACACAGTCCGAGATGTTTGCTTTTTACCAGGCCACTCGTTCCTTCGCATATACCCTCAGCCGCTTGCTACTCTTGCTGCAAGCTGCCGTCGATGTGATTCGCCTGCGTATAACTTCAGGCTGGAGTACGGCTACACACGATTCTGCTCACACTTGGTATCATCGCGCGGACCGAAGACTAGTACTGACAAGATCCTGCCAGTAAACAAGATCTACGTCGGAACACGATAATCTGTTCCGGGATTCAGGTCTCGATTGACGCACGGCTTTCTTAGACCCGAAAAATCGTCTTCGACGTCTGAACAAAGAATCGCTCGGCCGTGTCTGAGCATCGGGCAAAGCAGGCTCCGCACTAGGAAAGCCACCGAAGCAAGCTGTTCGGCAATAGACGAAGCTGTGAAGCTCAAAGAGAGACCTCGTTCATTCTGACTCTGCTCTACTGCATTGATTGGCTGCCAGAGCGCCTCAACTGGCTTAGATCTTGGAAATGGTACTTATAGGACAATCATTGAGCCAGCCAATAATTGCGCCCCACGACCATGATTATGTATCGAGAGCTAAACACCACATTAAGCGCAAGTCACGGTATCGAGATGGACGCTCCGACTTTTCACGCCACCCTCTCAGTCGGCCGAGTTAAAGCGTGGAAACTTACCTCTCTGCAAAGCAAACAACAGAGCAAACAGGCCAGAAGCGGCATCCACTTCGCGGAATCACCGGGCAGAGCATTCGGCGCTTCGTCTTTGCGTCTAAACCCTTACAGAACGCACAGATTATCACGTCTTTCACATCAGATTCAAGATACGCGCTGGCACATTTAGAGAGGGCATTTTCTCAGGCGCGCCGCTCAGTGCGACGAGAGCCAAAGCCTGGAGTTTGGGACGGTTAGACCCCACCATTTTAGCTGCCTTGAAACACCAAGCCATCTTAGCCGACCATGCAAGGGCAAATATCAACCACCCCTGCTGGTAGCTGTACACATTAACACAGTCTGGCTGTTGCGAATCTCATCTGCGTTACGATACTACGATTGCCAGCTAGAAACGGAGGGGATGAAGCCCCTCGAGGCAGGCACAGAAAGATCGGACAGTGATCTCGGGGTTCCATTCCGCTGACCTGCAGGTGTGCGCTTCCCGAACCTGTTTGGACTTGTCGATCATCACCAAATTTTGGACGGTTTCCTGGGGGGGCACAACGGGGCTATCGAGACTACGCCCCGGTCTAAAGGTATCCGTACCGGGTAACGCTATCCTCACTGTCGAAAATGCGGTCTGAAGTGGATTCTCAGTATTTCATGCAATGGATAGCCCTTGCTCTGGTCCCTCATCTGTTGCAATTCAGAGTCCAGACTTCCTGCCTCTCGCTATCCCACCCGACGCCTTAAAGACAAGATTCTCTGCAGTGTGCTGGGACAATCGGCTTCGGACCTACTAACAAGAAGCGGCTTGTCGGCTACAGCAGACCAAGGCTTCAGCAGCCGTTGTGCCAAAGACTTGACAGGCACGCCGTCAAAAGCTGTCGCTCAAGGGGAACCAATAGAAGGAATCGACGAGCTGGCTTGCCTAGACATTTCAGATCCGAAATAAGGTAATTTCGCACATTCACTAGATGCATTGCAGGCAGCCGGTCGGAAACTACCAGAGAAACTATTCCCGCCTGGTACAGGGAGGCCACATGGCGGACGAGCTCCCTTTTCCTCAAAGCAAAGCAGGATCCATCCAAGCCATTGGCAGACGCTGGGGGGCTCATACTACGTAGTCATCGCATGCCTGAAGAGGCAAATTTGTGGAGTCGCAAAAGTCGTTCCACGCGGGATCACGAGAGAGCTCTTTTTAATTGAAGAGGGCCCAGAATTGTGGAGGTTCTCTTCGTTTCCGAGGCCCGGTCACATCCACACACACACCGTCTTCGTCGTCAAGGTCGTCTTCCCTTTGCCGCCGACCCAGTGCAAGTGCCTTGAGTGGACGAATGGCAGTGGACACAGTTGTTGAACACGCACTAAAAAGTTGGCAGATGGAGCACACCCTGCGCGTCGTTCTCTTGCATGTCATGCAGGTACGAAGATGCTGCTTTGCAAGGTCGTTGTAGTGTGAGCGGCATCCTCTTACGATCATCTGCTGTTCCCCTGAAGCCTCCCCCTGGTGAATGTTACCTTCCTCAGAAAATCGTCATTATTCCATCTGGACTTTGGTCGGCTAGTTCAGACGGCGGGTGCTTTGACCTTTGCTACTGACGATTGGTGTTCTCCTGTTATGGAGTATGCTGAAGTATCCGGAAGGGAGAAAATCGAAGAAGAAAAAGAGGACGGGATGTTCTAGAAGGGCCCACAGAAGCTTCCCGCCCCTGAGCCTGCCTCTTGTGTAACCACCGTCTGGCACATCATACAGACGAGCTGACTTCAAATCCATGACTCCAGCGCTCCTTCGTTGGCCATTGTGGGTATCGTCTTCCACTCCGGCTGTTCGAGTTTTGTTTCGGACGGGACTAGATCCTCGTGGATCCGAAAAGCTGTGAAACGAAGCCTCTGAGCCGTCTGCTCGAGACTGCTCGGTTATGCGGATGATTTGATCCAGGGCAATTGAGAGACGGAAGAAACCACTGTACATTGGAGAGACACACATAGAAACCGCGGGACACACTGTAAAGCGCCACCAACCAGAATACGGGTTCAAGCGATGCCTGTGGCGTTCTCAGCCGCCTTGCGAGTTCGAAGGATGTCCAAGCACGGCTTCTGCCCTTGCAGATCACACGAGCTATTTGAGGCGAAGTCGTGCGTCCCCAGACGCAGAGTACACGGCACAGAAATGCTACCTAGCTGTAGACTGATGGATCAAGATGGAGCGTAGAGAGCGGCCCATCATGGTACCGGTCATTGGGTTGAACCGCACTGCGCCGGGCAGCCAGAGACGGAAGGCCGGACCGGTCAGCACAAGCGTCATCGGCCGGAGCAGAGCCCCGCAATTACGTTGCCGGCACCGAAAAACAAGCTTGCTTAGCGCCGTCCTACCAACCTCTCTGCCCGCATTTTGACGCGACTGGAAGCTTGTCTTGCTTGCGGTCGCATTACCTCTTCTACATTCCTCTGCCAGTTTCATCACGGACAGCGTCTCGAAGTCAATTGAGCGCGCAAACGAGCAAACATGTCTATCCCTATGAACCGCCTGGGCGGCCGCGGTAAGCATCTTCGCCATGTTTCGTTTTCGAATCCTCCTGGAGCCGTGGCTTGAAATCCGAGACCGCCACAAGCAGCCGGGATAAAGACAATGCTGTTCGACATGGCTCGACATCTGGAGACCGGACGCGCGCGCTGACAAGAGCACAACCGTTGCAGCCTTCAGCCACGCCGACAACGACGACGACGACACGGAGCGCGAGTACGATCGCCTCCGCGACCTAGCCCGCGAGGAAGCCAACAAGCGCAACCAGGCCTTTGAGCGCGTAAGTGCCCAAACCCCAAAGCGAAGCCTTGTTCAAAGACACGTGGTTTTGAGTTTTGTATGATGCCGCGAAAGCTAACACCCTCGATCGATGTCCTCTCCAGTCCCAACAAGCCTACCAGTCCGGCGATGGCGCGGCCGCCAAGGAGCTCTCCAACGAGGGCAAGCGTCACGCGCAAAAGATGGAGGACTACAACCGCCAGGCGTCCGAGTTCATCTTCCGGGAGAACAACGCCGCCGGTCGCATCACGGGCAGCTGCGTCGACCTGCACGGGCAGTACGTCGAGGAGGCGGAGCGTATCCTCGAGGAGCGCATCCGCGCCGACAGGGCGCGGGGCCAGGAACACTTGCACGCCATCGTCGGCAAGGGAAACCACTCGACGGGCCACGTGCAGAAGCTGAAGCCGAGGATCGAGGCCATTTGCCGCGAGATGGGGCTCAAGTATTCGACTGAGGAGAACGCGGGCCGGATCTACATCAACCTTCAAGGCGGCGACGCGACTATGCCGCCGCCGCCTCACACTGGAGGTGGTGGACAGCAGCACCACGGAGGAGGCCAGCAGCAGCATCACGGTGGTCAGACCCACGGGGGACAGCAGCAGCAACACCACGGCGGCCAGAACCAGCAGCAAGGCCAGGACGAGACTGGCGACTTGGTCGTCAAGATTCTCAAGAAACTGGAGAAGGCTTGCTGTATTGTCATGTAAGGGGGTCTGGTCTCTATAGTGGCCTCTCTCCGCTTCTCCACATTTCTGGCTCTCGGCAGCTCGGCCGCATCGTTATATGCGGCTGGGTCTTTTCTTTCTTGGATACCCGGCGGACTCGATGTGAAATGGTAATGTCTTCTCTTCTTCTAAGCCTATGTATATATATAGGATTGATACCCCTGGCGAGAGGTCACTGGACTCTGTAGCTTCGGGATGGATATAGGGCGACGTGGGTGTAATCTACGTCAGGATAATTTACACAATATTTGAGACTTTCTTCATGTTAAAGAATTCAAGTCCTAGTTTAGTGTGCATGCTGCGTCTGTAATAACAAACAAACATGCTAGCTCGGGAATCTCGATTTGAGACTGGTTTTTTGGGATTGACTGCCGAGGTCAAAGATTCGAAGAGATGGAACTCGCGAGTGCCGGATGATAACCAACATTGGCCCGGCGTTCGAAGCAGAGCAGAACCTGTTAGATATATCTCACGCTTCTTCTCTCTGAATTGACTAAAGGCTAATACGAAAGTCGCGCCTCGCTATGATAGAGGCAGGGACTTCTCGCGCAACTGCACTCCCATTGAGGCTCATGCATCTATCCGAGGTGAAGCTCCAACCGAAATCCCGATACGGTCTTATCGTTATCGGAGCTCCAACAACGCCCAATCTTTCGAGATCTGATTGGCCAACACTGACCGGGGGCAAGGCAAGCTTGCCTGCTATCCCGTTCCGCGCAGCGCTACTGCTGAGGAAGTGCTTTAACCAAAGAAATTTCTAACATCGTCATCGCTCCCGAACCAACTACAACAACTTCCATCACGAAAAGCCCCCCCCAACGACCTCGCATATATCCCGTCAAATTCACGACTTCATCGAGCCAACCAAATATCAAAAATGGACGCGTAAGCTTGTCCCCTCCCCTGGACGAAGCCAGGAAAGATCGGAGACGGAGAAAGTATCGACTAACGCGCATTCCCTTTTGACCAGCCTTACCAAGACCGAGGAGGCCCAGCTCCAGCAGAGACTTCAGAAGCGCCAGGTCAAGGAGTTCATGAACGTATGTCTCTCTTCAACTTTCCGATTCCTATTTACACAGAAACAGCCCTTCAATCCCGTTTCCTCCCGTCTCTATGGTTTCCCTCGATCGCTGTTTGGAAAAAGCGATAAAACTCCAGGCTTTTGGGCTAACCCGATCATCTTCTCCTCTTCCAGCTCTTTGGCAACCTTGTCGACCACTGCTTCACCTCATGCATCGACGACTTCACCTCAAAGTCCCTCTCCTCCCGCGAGACCGGCTGCATCACCCGCTGCATCCAGAAGCAGATGTTCTCCCAGCAGCGCCTCAGCGAGCGCTTCCAGGAGCACAACGCCCAGATGACGGCCCAGATGCAGGGACAGTAAAAGAAACTTGACGCCACAAGACAGAAATCAAAATGATGTGAAATAAAGAGAGAAGATAATGGCACGCAGAACGGTGTTCGATAAAGGAGATCTCGGACGAGCTCGCGCGCGAGCTGATGTAACACTATTCCCAGCAAGGCAGGCAGGCAGGTAAAACCAGTCGGTGGGGGAGGAAGGCCTTGGGGTTCGCAAGATTTACCACACACACGATCTCCAAAATAACGAAGCCAGGCGAGTGAGTTGGGAATGACAACCACGGACGAGGAGGGTTTCCTGTATATTACATTGTGTTACTTTTTCTTTCCCCCAGCCAATGGATAGACGTGGCATGGCACTTTTGGCGGGCGTGGAATGAACACTGCTCAATGAAGGGAGAGAACGAATGGACAAAATATCTACTCCATGAGCTGTTGACACTATTTGCTTGCATGTCACCAATCCGTGAGCCAAAAGTCATGATGAATAAGGGCGTCATGTTGGTCGTACCCAGCAATCTGCCAGGGGTATCCGCGAATTTGATCCTACGTAGACTATGGGGTTTCCCAGTGACGATAGCTGGAATAGGTATGATGCACCCACGTTTATCCTACACTCTTAAACGCCTAAACCCTTTTTGTGTCGTTGTTCCCCCTCCGATTCATTCATTTCCTTTTGACCGACAATAATTCCACTCGGCTCATTATTTCTATCTCAATAGCCCCTTCATCCTTGCTCAAGACTCTTCGAGGTCTTCGCTCAACACATCCCTGACGGCCTCCAACTGCGAGAGTACCTTGCTCTCCAGAACATTTCCTGGCTGGCCACTCTCATCGGACGCGCCAGTTTTGATGCTCTTCCACTCCACCTCACGCTGACCCAGCGGCAGAAGTCTGTCACGCAACAACTTCCGGCTCGACAGCCAAAAGTCAATGTTTTCCAAAAGAGAAGCAGCATCCCATTGGATCTCCGGGATGTCCCGGCTATTGGCCGTACGCATCGCGGCAATAACTCTCGTCAACAGAGCCAAAGAGTGCACCTCTGATACTGAAAGAAGCGTCACGTAGTGCGGCGTCTCTCTCGATGCCGTACGACTGGCGCCAGGAGCCTCGAATCGGTCGACGCTAGACTTGAGGAGCAGAGGGAACTGGTTCAGAACGTAACCAAGTTCCGGCGCAACCGTTCCGCCCAGAGCAGTGAGGAGATTCAGCAATAGGGGCAAAACACCCTTGACCCAGATGATGTAGCATCGCTGGGGTCCAACCGCTTCCGAGAAGGGAGAGATATTCCCGCGACGCATAAAATTGGTGATGCCTGCTGAAGTCAGGTGGCTCAGCAAGCCATCGCAGGCCATTTGCTCTGCCACGGCCGGCAGGGTAGAAAGCTCTAGCAAAAAGAGCAAGCTCAACTCGCCGTAGATCGGATCACCGTTGACGGAAAGTTTATCAGCCCAGGAGAACATTGATGTCGCTGCGTGCATCGCGTCATATGATGCCATGATGTTGAGTATCTGTGTTTGGCATTGGTCAATAGTTGGCATGTTGAGACAAGCTTGCAGAATGGCGGTTAGGAGAGCTAGGTCCTCGGGTGCAACGGCAGCCTCGGAGTCGTGCACAAGGGAAACGAGCGTTCGGAATCCCTTTGCTACTACTCGGTCGAGAAGGTTTAGGACAGTCTGAGTGAGTGTGATCGAGAAGCCGTCGCCTCCATTCTTCGAGGCTCCCAGGGATTTCTTCTCCGCAGCATTATACGCACGCAAGGTGACGTAGATGGCTTTGAGCATTGTGCGATAGTACGAGATTGAGTCCGGGTTAAAGGGTTCCTCGACAGCGCTGATAATGGTGAATAATGTTCCCAGAAGCTGATTCACGTCGTGAGATGAGATGGGACGGCCAACGAGACGCTGGACGAGAAGCAAGCTCAAATCAGCTCGCTCTTCGACAATCCGCATGAAGATGTTTTCCGGGCCTTGGTTGGACCGATTGGCCTCGAGACATTGCTGCGCAACTTGCAACATTTGTCTGGCAATGGTTTCGTTGTCTGCAAGAGAGCTACTGAGCTCGAGAAGCAGGTATTCCCACGCGTGGAACAGCGACTACAGTGATGTTAGTATGGACCGAAAGGGTAGGAAGATGCTCAAGCGCAAAACTTACAATCTGCGCGTCAACTAGGGAGAGGTTGGCGTTGGCGATCCCCATCTCATTGCGGAATCCATTGTTGCGACGACCATGCCAGCCTGGATCGAAGCTCAGCATCTCATTTGCACTCTCCAAGTCATAGAAATAACTTCTGCCAAGCTCGCCGGGCCGCAGTGACGTCCTTTTGAAAGCTTCCAAGGAAACTCCTGGGTACTTGCTTGTGAAGTTTTTGGCAAAGTTGCTATGCAAAGAAGTATTATAGCTCGAAACTTCTACGCCGTCCCGCAGATAGTAGTCCAAGTCGGACACCAGGCTCTTGGCGAATGTATCGGCACCGCCCATCTGTCGTAAGTGATAGAGCTGCATGGCAAATATCTCGGCAATGTAAGCAGCCATTTTGGCATCCGTGGCAGCCTTGACGGCATCTGTCTTGCTTGTAACTGTAAAGCTGCTGAGGTCCTTGACATAAAGACGCAAAGAGTCCAGGAACGACGAATCTTTTTGCATGGTGAAGATTGTCCAAGGCCAATGGTTTTGAGATGATGCAACGAAATCGAGGATCCTGACTGCCTCGCCTGTTTCTAATTCCTTGATCTTCTTCAGCTTTGAAAAGGCTGTCGCCAGTACCGAGGTGGGTGTTGATGAGGCGTCCTTCTTGACTCCCTTGAGGGCATCTCTGGGCGTCTTGCCTGTCAAGAGACAATTTGATAGCCACTGCTGGCGGTTCTGCACGATCGTGGAGAAGAATTTCCACGTTGTCTGCACATCTTTCGCAACGAGGAAGGGTTTATCGAGTCGCGACAAAACTTCGATAAATGACCGGGATAAAAGCGGACCTAGGTATCCCAGGAGAGAAGGAGGATCGTCGTGAGCTTTGGCAGCACTTAGCACCAGGGCCTCAAGGAGTAGCAGTGCTGGCCGTCGAAATTGCTCGCAGATTGCACATAGCCTTGCCAGGATCGAAGACGTCTTGAACAGGTGTTCTTCGAAAGTCGCTGATGGTCGGTCCAAGTAACTTGCAACACGTAGCAAGGTTGTTGTAAACCGTAAAGCACACGTGAGCTGCTCTTGGGCTGAGGCTAGTCTATCTTGGTAGAAGGTCGAGTCGGGGATTTGAAGGCCATTGACCAAGGTAGTGAGGAGCGGCTGGAACCTCAAAGATCCCGTTGAGGGCGAGAGGAATGCATCGATAATGTAGGACGCTGCGGGTTCCAAGCAAGCCGCCAGCGTATCCGCGTTCTCTTGATCACCCATCCCGTACGTGTGCTCGATAATTTGATCCATGACAGGGACAACATGCCGAATGAGCAGGGCTTTGTGAAGCTCTGATCCGAAGCGCCAGGTTGAGGAGGTCTCAAAGACATCGACTGCGGCTTGAGCAATTGCGAGGCTGACCTTGCCCAAGACCTTGTCCGCTACGCCGAGCCAAACATTGTTTGATACTTGCTGCCGTCCAACTAGCTTGTTGCCAGATTTGCGTTGAA